CTCTGGCAGGGAGGTCTTTAGGTCACTGTGGGTGTGCACTCAAGAGAGGTTCTCATGAGATGGCTCATTATATGAATTCAAGGTCAGCCCAGCTTCTCTCTCAGCTTTCTCACTCACCATGTGATCATTTCTCTGCAGCCACCACGACCAGGATCCACTAAACAATGGAGCCATCTCATCCTGAACTGCAACCTCGAAACTATAAGCTGAAATATACCTTTTCTTTCCCGAGAAGCTCCTCTCGGATACTTTAAAGTGGTAAAAGCAGATTAATGTATGTCATATGTGATCACATGAGTGACTCACAGAAAGGCATGACTTACCACATGACCCATTTAGAGAAAGTTCAAGAAAAGACAAAACTTACAGTGTTAACATGGGAATCAGGACAGTGATCACCTCCGGGGAGGGGCAGATGGTGGGAGGGGCTGAGGGAGATGTTCTGGGGGTGCTGGTGACAACCTACCCTACGTTCTGGTCTGGGTGAGTTTTCCAAGGTGTATTCACCTTGCGAACATCAGCAAGCTGGGCGCTAGAGTTGTGCAAGGACGGGCAAACTCTGTTTGGGCATGCTCTGTCAACAAATGATAAGACCTCTGATTCACAAAAAAAAAGCAAAGCACTCAACAGGTATCTGAAAGGTCCTAGAGAAACAGGACAGGACTTCGCTTTTTGGGGCAGTGTACAAACTTCCCAAGCTGAAGTTCCTGCTTCTAAACATGGCTCTTCTCTGCAGAACCAGACTGAGCCACTCACCAAATTCCTGTGTGATGGACTCACTCCTGCCCTTTTTTACATATTTGAAGAGAAACAGCCTGTACCAAAATTTTGTGAAACACTGAAAAAGTCTCAACAGTGACACACGTTAAAGCTGGGTCCAGGGCCGGCGCCGCGGCTCACTAGGCTAATCCTCCACCTACGGCGCCGGCACACCAGGTTCTAGTCCCGGTTGGGGCACCGGATTCTGTCCCGGTTGCTCCTCTTCCAGGCCAGCTCTCTGTGTGGCCCAAGAGGGCAGTAGAGGATGGCCCAAGTGCTTGGGCCCTGCACCCGCATGGGAGACTAGGAGGGAGCACCTGGCTCCTGCCTTCAGACAGGCGCAGCGCCAGCTGTAGCAGCCATTTTGGGGGGGTGAACCAATGGAAGGAAGACCTTTCTCTCTGTCTCTCTGACTGTCTAACTCTGCCTGTCAAAAAAAAAAAAAAAAAAAAAAAAAAAAAGCGGGATCCATTTTCTAATTTTACTTGGTTATACAGTAATCACCACAGCTTAGAAATATCAAATAAAACAAGAAAGAAAGGATCCTTAATATGAATAAAGCTATTCTATCATCTTGATCTTTTTAATGCCAAGTTTATCCTCATATGCATTTAAAAAATGCTTGTAACTGTGAATGCACATAGAATTGTTTGATCTGTTTTTCTCCTTGAACACTGTCATAGCATTTCCAGACTGCTGCATGGTCTTTCAAAACCATCCTTACAACAGCTCCATAATATCCTAGCAAATGGATCTGCCATAATTTACTTAGTCCCAGTGTTGAGTTATCTATCTTTTTCCAATTCTCTACTATAATAATAAACTATGATGTAACAGATTATTTCTTTCAAGCAGCTTTTCCCACATTTTGGATTATTTCCTTTGGCTGGATCCCTGGATCAAAGGGAGGAACATATTTGTGGCTCTAGATATTTATTCTTTGTCTACTATTTGGCTCTATTTTGACTACACTGTTTATGTTTATATAAAATATTATTGGAATTTGTACGCTTAATTACATAAGATTTACAACCCATTGATTTCCAAGATAATCTGAAATGGATGCTTTTTAAAATAAAGACATATAAACAGGAAAAAAAGTAGAAAAATACACATAGCTAACTAAACAAGGCTCGGCAAACTACAATCAACAGGCTAAATCTGGCCTATCAACCTGTTTTTGTAAATAAAGTTAAGCTGGATTGCAGTCCATGGCTCCTTTTATGTCACATCTGTGCAGCTGAGTAGCTGCAACAGAGACTGTGGCCTACAATATGTAAAATATTTACCATCTAGTTCTTTACCAGGAAAAGCTTACCAATCCCTGAACTAAATTATCTAGATTCAGAGGTTTTAATTTTAAACAGCAAAATCCCTCTCTTATTGCATTGAATCAACTTCCACTTCTGGTTAACAGGACCTGATTTACCCGCCCATTAGAAATAACAATAAAAACACAGATGACCATGCAACAGTTTCAAGACACTGACAGGAGGCAGTGAAGGAAGGATACAGTAGAGTAGATTGTTAAGCAAGACAGACCACATTCCAAGCCATAAGGCAAAACTCAATGAATTTAAAAGGATTTAAGACACAGTGGAATTAAACTGGAAATCAGCAACCAGGATATCTGGAAAATTCCTAAATATCTGGAAACTAACCAATATATCTCCAAATAATTCATGTTGGAAAAAAAATAATCAAAAAGGAAAACTAGAAAGTATTCAAAAAGGATGAAAATGAAAATGCAACATATAATTTGCAGGATGTCACTTAAGTAGAACTCAGAAGGAAATTCATACATAAAATGCCTGTATTAATGAAAAGGGCCTTGGGGCCAGCATTGTGGCATAGAGGGTAAAGCCGCTGCCTGCGATGCCAGTATCCCACATGTTCCACTTCCAATCCAGTTCCCTACTAATGCACTTGGGAGAGCAGAAGATGGCCCAAGTGCTTGGGCTCCTACATCCATAAGGGAGACCCAGATAAAGCTTCTGGCTCCTGGTTTTGGCCTAGCCCAGTTCTCACCACTGTGGCCATTTGGGGAGTGAACCAGAGGATGGAACACCTCTCTGTCTTTCCCTTGCTCTCTGAAATTCTGCCTTTCAAATAAATAAATCTTTAAAAATAAATAAAAAAGGGTTTCAAGTCAATGACTTCAGCTTCAGGCTTAATTAACTGGAAAAAGAAAGCAAAATAAACCCAAAGTAAATAGAAGAAAGGAAGCAATAAGAATGAAATCAATAAAATATAAAACAGCAAAAACAATAAAGAAAGTCATTAAAGCCAAAAACTGATAAACTTCTACTAGACAAACCAATCAGGAAAAGGTCCAAAATAAGAGAGGTGACACCACTAGTTTCTACTTTAGCAAAGAACAGTAAAGAATACAATGAACAATTTTATGTCTGTAAATTCAACAACTTAGATGAAACAGACAAATTCCATGAAAAACACAAACTACTAAAGCTCATTCAACATGAAACACATAACCTGAATAGTCCTATCTCTATGAATTAGTCCATTTTGTGATGTTTCCACAAAAATAACCTAGATTATCTCCTCATAGTTCTAGAGGCAGGAAGTCCAAGATGGAAGGGCTGGCACCTGGTGAGTTTCCTGATGCATCATTCCATGGCAGAAGGACAAAGAGGGGGTGAGTGAAAGGCACCAAGGGGCCAAATTCATCCTTTTTCTTTTTAAGGAACCTGCTCCCAGGATGGAGAACCCACATGGCCTAATCACATCTTACAGGTCCTTCTCTTGATACTGTCACACTGGGGAAAAGTTCCCAACACCTAAGCTTCAGGGGACACATTCAAACCACAGCAGTCCACTGCAGAAATGGAAATTTTAGTTAAAAACTCCCACAAAGAAACTCTAGGCACAGATGCCATCAGTGGCAAATTCTACCACACATCTAAGGAAGAAACAGTACCAAAACTACATGAATGCTGGCAGAAAACTGAAGGAGAGCAAATTCTGCCCAACTCATTGCATTGTATGAGGCCAGCATTACTCTTTGTTACCAAAATCAGACAACTACCAATAGGCCAATAGGCCAATATCCTGATGAACACAGATGCAAAGACAATTATAATAAATTGAATGGGCCGGCGCCGAGGCTCAATAGGCTAATCCTCCACCTAGCGGCACCGGCACAATGGGTTCTAGTCCCGGTAGGGGTGCCGGATTCTGTCCCGGTTGCCCCTCTTCCAGGCCAGCTCTCTGCTGTGGCCAGGGAGTGCAGTGGAGGATGGCCCAAGTGCTTGGGCCCTGCACCCCATGGGAGACCAGGAGAAGCACCTGGCTCCTGCCGGCAGCAGCGCACCATCTGCGGTGGCCAGTGGAGGGTGAACCAACGGCAAAAGGAAGACCTTTCTCTCTGTCTCTCTCTCTCACTGTCCACTTTGCCTGTCAAAAAATAAATAAATAAATAAATAAATTGAATGAAATAACATACAAAAAGAGTCGTATTGCGAACCAAGTAAGGTTTATCCCAGGAATGGTAAGGTTGGCGTAACAAATGAAAACCACTGAAGTACCTAAGTCCATAGACTTAAAGAATGGTAGAACCAGAAGAGATCAGTAACATGAGCTCCTTTTTTGGATGAGCAACTGAAGCCCACAGAACCACGACTACATGGCCAATTAGAAGCTGATCCCCAAGGCTGAACGTGGGAGGTCCGGCCAGCAGTAGAGAATGTCTTTTACCCTACCTCATTATTTGATCACTAGGTATACTATTATTTAGTTATTTTGAGAAGAAGTAAAGTGCGATGCTGTGGGAGCTGGAAAGGCCTGGGTCTGAATCCCAGTTTTGCTTGCTATAGCCTTGGGTATGTATATAAACTTCTCTGAGTCTCAGTAATACTGTTTGCTAAAGGGAGATAACATGGTGTCTGAATCACAGGGTGGTGGTAAAAGGACTGAACGGGTGACGGATCTAACACACTCAGGAAAACGCTTGGCATTTCACAGTGGGTAATACTACTGCTTCCACCACTACTTATCATCATCATATCTGGATTCTGAGGACACCAAGTCTAAGTTATGCAGCCCAATCCTTATAGATACTCCCTTGAAAGCACCCAGACACAGGTACCCCCCAAAAATCAGACTATTTCTTGATAAGCCCCTTCTCTGTTTCTGGCGTGGATCCTCCTGGAAATTAGAACTGTTACCTGCCTTTTCTCTTTCCTTTTTCTTTTAAATATACGCTGAGTATTTTCTCCAATTACCTGCTTTCCTGTCCACAGTGGAAAGGGTTTCAGAATGGCTGGAGGCAAGAGCTTCACACGCCCCACTTTGTCTGTGAGTCCTCGGTACACCAGCTCCATATATTGTTCCCGGGTGAAAAAACAACCCCGAATCGTCATGTTTGCACCTGAAACCATGTGATCCTGGATCAGTCCTGCCAATGGCTGGCCATCCTACAGACCAAAACAGATTAAAAACAGAAGAGCAAAGATCAATTTTGAGTAAAACTTTAATTGCTAATCATCTGCTTAGAAGACAACTTCTAGCAATAGTCTTCCCTGTATCCCTGTGTTGTCTTGTCCATGTCCTCACTAGGCCTGTGCTTAGGAGCAAACCGCCTCCCCAAACCCACGGCCAGGGCTTCCTGTCAGTCTCCACTTTTGTCACTGGCCCACTATCCTGAAAACTGCTTCCAACTCAGCCAGCTTCCCAAACTTTCTCTGCTTAGTATCATCTGGTTCTAGTTACTCCAGCATGTTTTTGGCATTTACGCACAAATTTGGTCTGGTTAATGTTAGTTGTGTTCTTGTTTTTATACTTTGGTTTTATGCTTTAGTATTTTTCACACATTTCTGGCCTGGTCCTCCTATAAATCAGTCATCCATTCAATAAATATTTATTGAGAGACTACCGTATGCCCAGGCACTGGGGATACCTTTGGCCTACTCCAGTGAACCAAACGGCCACAGTTCTGTATGAGAAAGAGCTAGACAGTAAACAAAATGACTGCATAAATATATTTATCACAAAGCACTTTAAACTATCGTGGATAAAATCACAGAATGGGTCCTAAGGGGCCCGAGAGTGACTTGGAGCTAGCCAACGCAGGCAGGTTGGGGTACAGGCACAGGTTCCGTAGAGGGCTGTGACAGGGCCTTGATCCACAAGACTGTGGAAGAATGTTCATTATTAGGATTTCCTCACAACGTAGCCCATGGCTCATGGTGGGCCCTTAATAAAGGCTGTTATCTACAGATGTCAAAACAAGGGCTTTTATAGGAGCCCCAGATTCGGTGAGTACATTCATCTCAGTTGACACTTTCACAGCTTCTCTGATCCCGTCTCCTGGACCTTCTCCGTTGGTCTGTGTTCATGGCAACGTAAGGTACACTAAAGTAAAAACAGCTAGGCTCACTGATGACCTTTAAGAAGTAGGTTTTGCAAACTTTTCCATTCTTACAGGAATTTGAGAAAAACCTGAGCTTTGGATCCAGAGATTGTTCTCCTTTGATTACTTGTTAGAAACTAGCCACTATTAGGGCCTGTTTCATAACTCAGGTTCAAGGAACTCACAAATGCAGCTAGGGAGAAGGGCCAGGAACTTAACCACATGTACTAATTCAAAGGCTAAAAAGGGTCCTTGTCAAATGGTCTAAATACTACAGCGACAGGCTCTAAGTAAACTCAAAAATAATTATTACAGATGGGCTGAAAGGGAGCCACAGACGTAAGACAAGGTCAGATGGAGTGCTGGCCCTTCTTATGGAGGCTCTGAGTTACTAACATAAATAAAAAATTGTACATTGCACTCTGTGCCAAAGATGGTCTCATTTTACTTGGTGGGGGTTAGGGGTCCCAAACAAAGATACCACATTTGACTCATCCCACAGTCTTTGGGGCACTTAAAGATCGTTCCTTCTGTTTTCTTCCTTTAAAGAACTGAATTACAAGTTATGTGATACATTCAGTGCCTTCTCTTCTTTCTGTCAAGATTTTTCCATGACTAGAAAATTACTTTAATGGCTAAACTGCTTTCCAGGCAATAATCACACGAATTCTAGCTTGGAATGCTGATTAAAGCAATTACTAAGGGTCTACTTATAATTTTCAATCTCCTAAATCCCCCTTGGGATCAGAAAGAACATCTCTGAATTAGAACTCCAGAAAATTGTCAGTTATACAAGTCCACTTAGCATCACAGCAAAATGACGATGTAATTAATGTCTTTGGTCAGGATGCTTGGAGAATATGGGTATCCAATTTTCCAGCTGACTGTAGAAGTCAGGAAACTATGTCTCAAGCCTGTTAAAAAACTTTCTAAAAAGCATTGGCCCCCATTACCTATAACAGAAGGAAAAATATAGATAAAGAAACATGGAAACAAAAAGTTTAGTTATTTCCTTGGAAAAGAAATGGCTAAAGTTCCACTCATCTCAAGCTTTAGTTAAGAAGACAACACAGAACTCTACTTAGTACATGGAACCAATAATCCAGAAATATGGTTAGGAAAGGAATAGAAATCAAGAATACAAACAGAGATAGGGAAGCAAAGGGAATAAAGATACACCCATAAAAATGATCCTCAGAAACATGCTTTCCCAAGTTCAACCAGGCCAACCCTTGTTCTCTTGCTGCCAAAATCATGTGACATTTTTATAGCCATTAGCAAAAATAAGGGTTTCACTTCTTAACATTTATACTAAGGACTAAATAAAATTTATCAAGAGTGCTAAGCTCTTTACCTCTGACAGAAAAATCAACTGAAAATGTAGGGCAGGCATTGTGGCTTACAGGTCAAGCTGCCGTCTGCAATGCCGGCATCCCATATGGGCGGCGGTTCGAGTCGCGGCTGCTCCACACCTGATCCAGTTCTCTGTTAAAGCTCAGCAGAAGATGGCCCAAACAGCTGGGCCCCTGCGCCCACATGGGAGACCCAGATGAAGCTTCTGGCTCCTGGCTTCAGCTTGGCCCAGCCCTGGCCCTTGCAGCCATTTGGGGAATGGACCAGTATAAAGTTTCTCTCTTTCTCTCTGTAACTCTGCCTTTCAAATAAATAAATCTTTTTTAAGATTTTTATTTATTATTTATTTTTTTAAAGATTTTATTCATGTATTTGAAAGTCAGAGTTAAATAGACAGAGGAGAGGCAGAGAGAGAGAGAGAGAGAGAGAGAAGTCCTCCATCCACTAGTTCACTCTCCAAATGGCCTCAATGGCTGGAGCTGCGTTGATCCAAAGCTAGGAGCCAGGAGCTTCTTCCAGGTCTCCCACGTGGTTGCAGGGGCCCAAGGACTAGGGCTGTCTTTCACTGCTTTCCCAGGCCACAGCGGAGAGCCAATTCAGAAGTGGAACAACCGGGACTCAAACCAGCACCTATATGGGAATGCCGGCACCACAGGTGGTAGGTAGCTTTACCCACTATGCCACAGTGCCAGCCTCTATTTATTTATTTGAGAAGTAGAGTTACAGACAGAGAGAAAGGTCTTCCATCTGCTGGTTCACTCCTCAAATGGCCACAACAGCCAGAGCTGGGTCAACGTGAAAGCAGGTGCTAGGAACTTGCTCTAGGTCTCCCAGGCAGGTACAGGGGCTCAAGCACTTGGGCCATCCTCTACTGCCTTTCCAGGCCACAAGCAGAAAGCCGGATCACAAGTGGAACAGCCAGGATACGAACTGGTCCCCATATGAGATACCAGTGCCGCCCCCTAAAATGAATCTTTGGAAAAAAAAAAAAAAAAAAAAACTGAAAATGAAGTGAACCTGAGGCCATCCCCTCTAAGTTTAATTTTTAAGAAATCAGGGGCAGGCATCTGGCACAGTAGTTAAGTAATGGCTTGGGATGCCTATCTCACACTGAGGGCCTGTTTAAAATCCCTGTTACTGTGCTTCCGATCCAGCTTTCTGCTGATGTGCACCAGGGGAGACCGCAGGTGTTGGCTCAAGTACATGAGTCTATGCCATCCATGTGGGAGACTCAGATGGAGCTTGGCCTGGACCAGGCCTGGCCATTGGAGGCATCTGGGGAGTGAACCAGCAGATAGAGGATCTTTTCTCTGCCTGTCACTCCACTTTTCAAATAAAAACTTCAAACCAAATAAAATTTTTAAAAATTATTGATATGAGCTTATTTACTGCATTCTATGAAGGGGTGACAAGGCTCATTTGGAAGTAAAGGGACTTGCCCTTTGCAGGATGTGATGCAAACATGAAGCCTCATATTGCTTTGCACCTCATGCAATCCAAAGCAAACAGAGAACATTCAGGCCCATCGATCTGAGGACTCTGGAGTGCCTCAACTCCCCACGGAGCCAATGTTCACAGGTCACTCTGCCAGCAAAATCCACCTGCGCTCCTGGTAGGGTTCTCTCTGGTGATCCTGATTCTGCTGCTAGATTTGGAGCAGTCCCTAGGAGGCACTTCCTGTCAAGTGCCCTCTCCCACCCAACATGTCAAGAGGAACTAAGAACACATGTGGCTAAGCGTACAGGCTTTAGAGTCGGTTTGAGTCCTGGCCTCATCACTAACTGGCCACTGACTCATTTAAATCTTCATCTGAACGTCACACCTACCACTCAAGTCTGTTGTGAGAGCCAAGCAAGAGAATGCTTGCAAACTGTTTAGAGCAATACCCGAGGTCCAGGGCCTGCTCAAAAACGATGGTTTTTACTGCTGCTACTATTAAAGCTAATAATACTACTCACCTGAGAAGACAAAAAGCCAATTTCCTCATTAGTAAAATTATTTTTTTCTCTGCTCCAAATGATCCATATGAGACCTCACTTCTTCTTTCTGCTTTTACTTCCTTTGTTAAGGAATTTAGGAGGGCAAGAAGGGGAAGTTAAACAACTGGGCCATGCATGAAGCCACCGTGGTGCACCTGGCAGGAGAGCCTGGGATGCTGGGCTCCCAGCCAGGTGCCTGACCCGCCAGGGGCTGGACATGGCTGACGGCATGATTGAAGACACAAAGAGCACAGGATGCTACCTGGGACTGGATATCTTCAAGCAGCCCTGTGCTCCTTGCGTATAGAATTCTCTGTAGAACAAACCCCACAAAGATCTGGGAGCTCCTTGTCCTTCCTCTTACTTATCAGCTGGGTGTCCCTGGGTAAGCTATAGCAATTCTTTGGGTATAAAATGTGGACTTTATAGCATCTACCTCCAAGGCTGAAGGAGAAGTTGAAACAAGAAGCCTCTAAAGTGCTTTGCACAGTGCCTGGCACTGACAAAGTGTGTGGTCACTGAGGTGTAACTGTGAATCACTGGATGCAAATGGCTTAGCACTTCACAGGCCTCAGACGTTTGAGTGGAGGGTGAGGGCTAAAAGGAGACTAGAACTTCCTCCATCTATTTGCCTGCACCCTAGCTCTTTACCTCCCATAAGCACACAGACTCAAGATCCTGCCACTTAATGGAATCAATTGGCTGGCCAGGCAAGGTGGGAAGAAGTTACATCCTTCCTTCGTTTCCCACTGGAAAGTCATGACCACATGGAGCTGCCCTTGAGGATCGACATCAAAGAAAGAAGGAAGAGATTCAAAGAGGAGGTAATTTCAGGGGCTGCAGGAGGATCTCAACTGGGTCCTTGGGTTAAGCTGTCTCTTAAAACTCAAGCTTACTAGAATCCAAAGGATCAAAGTTACCTGGAGACCATGATAACCATGACAGCTGAGATGAGAGGATGATTGTCAGGAGCTAGCAAGTCGCAAACTCCAAATATAAGTCTGGAAGACAAGACACACTATGCAGCTATTGAACTTGGTTTTCTAGAACGGCCATCACACTTTCTCTCTGACTTAGTCAATTTTAAGACACAGCAAGGCCGGCGCCTTGGCTCACTAGGCTAATCCTCCGCCTGTGGCGCCGGCACACCGGGTTCTAGTCCCAGTTAGGGCGCCGGATTCTGTCCCGATTGCCCCTCTTCCAGTCCAGCTCTCTGCTATGGCCCGGGAGTGCAGTGGAGGATGGCCCAATGGCTTGGGCCCTGCACCCGCATGGGAGACCAGGAGAAGCACCTGGCTCCTGGCTTCAGATCAGCGCGATGTGCTGGCCACAGTGCACTGGCCGCAGCAGCCATTGGAGGGTGAACCAACAGCAAAAGGAAGACCTTTCTCTTTCTCTCTGTTTCTCTCTGTTTCTCTCTCTCACTGTCCACTCTGCCTGTCAAAAAAAAAAAAAAAAAAAAAAGACACAGCAAGACAGAAGTTTTTCCCTGCTTGGGAGCAACTGGAAGACTGAAAACACCTGGGGAAAAAAACAGGACCCTATGTGCCCATGCATTGGAGCTGCCCACCGACCCCAGAAGCTGGGGGAGGCCCAGGTTTAAGGTGGCACGCCATGTCAGAGATGACCATGGAAAGGCCTCAAGGTCAGACTTACCTTGGGAACAAGGTACTGCTGATCAGTGCAGGCCAGGACGCAGGCCTCGGCCCGGCCCAGCTCACTCTGGGGGAAGTGGGCATTCATCTCGTCTCCATCAAAGTCAGCATTGTAGGCCTTACAGTTGGCATAGTGGAGCCGTAGGACTTTCTCTTCAGGCAGGATGCGGGCGCGGTGGGCCTGGATGGAGGGTCTGTGCAAGGTGGGCTGCCGATTCAGTAGGAGAATGTCCCCATTCTTCACGTGCCGGCACACCTAACGGCAGAGTGGAGACCAGGTAGATGATCAGTGGAAATTCCAGCAACATCACTGCCCCTTCCAAGGTTCACCTCAACTTGGCCTGGGCCTGACTTCTATCCCATTCAAGAGGCACACATCTTAGCTTATCTAGACTGGAATACTATGCAATGATGAAAAAGGCTAAGTTAAATACAGTCACACAGCACATCATGCCTCTGTCAACAACAGACTATACATAGTAGGTGGTGCAAGTTGTCACTGCCATCTTAGTTTGCGAAAGTAAACACTATGACATTTGTATGACAAAATTACCTAACTGCATTTCTCAGAACATGTCCCAGAGTGTAAATATAAGTCCTGAAGTGATAGCAATAAGGTAGTAGAAGAAAAAAAAAATCCCAGTGGCGTGTAATGTGATCAGGTGCAGCAATCTAAAGCCCAATCTAAAACTCAGGGATGGGGGCCAGTGCTGTGGCATAGCGGGTAAAGCTACCGCCTACAGTGCTGGCATCCTATATAGGCTCCGATTTCAGTCTTTGCTAATGCACCTGGGAAGGCAGTGGAAGATGGCCCAAGTCCTTGGGCCCCTGTACCCATGTGGGGGACCCAGAAGAAGCTCCTGGCTCCTGGCTGCAGATCGACCCAGCTTTGGCCACTGAAACCATTTGGGGAGTGAACCCATGGACAGAAGATCAATCGATTAATCTCTCTTTGTAACTGTTCTTTTCAAATAAATTAATCTTAAAACAACAACAACAACAACTCAGGGTTGGGCACTTGGCCTAGGGGCAGACAGCAGTTAAGACCCCGGAATCTGGGGCTGGAGTTGTGGAACAGTGGGTTAAGCCACTGCCTGCAACGATGGCATCCCACATGGGAGCCACTTTGAGTCTGCTCCACTTCCTATCCAGCTCCCTGCTGATGCACCTGGGAAAAGCATCAGAGGATTACCCAAGTGCTTGGGCCCCTGCACCCATGCGGAATACTCGGAAGAAGATCCTGGATCCTGGCTTTGGCCTGGCCCAGACCCGGCCATTGCAGCCATTTGGGGCGTGGACCAGTGGATGGAACTTCTCTTTCTCTGTAATTCTTTCAAATAAACACATAAATCTTTTTTAAAGGGCATCTCCATCATCCTCTCCCCATTCCCCTCCAGCGTGGCTGAAAGTTCCCTCTGCCTTAGGAAAGCAGGAAGCAAAGCCCTCGCATCTACGAGGCAGGCCTGGAAGCACCTAGCACACAGCTAAGTCTTTTTGTGCCCTAAAGAATTGGAATCCTGCCCTCCCCATTCCCTAGTGGCATGTTTCCAAGGAGACCTGAACTCCGAGGATTCCCACGAACATCTGCCCTGGTGCCCCGCGTGACTACGTCACACAGCCCAAGATCTTCTTTCTTTAGCCTCTCAAGGGAGAAACTGCTCCGACCAAAAACCCAGGCCGGGCCTATGACCTGAGTCTGGCAAACTTGAGGCATCCCGAGCGTAAGCAAACTCGGTGCAGCTGGGACGGGACGTGGGCCAGTCGGGCAGGCATTGGCCAATCCAAACAGAAGCCCTGGAACCCAGGGTGCTCCCCTTGCCAACCCAAACCCCAGGCCCTTCCTTTCTCTTGTCTCTAAATAAACACCGCAGTGAAAATTAGTGTGCCCCAGTGCCCGGGTCAGGGTTTCCAGAGGCAGGCTTGGGGCCAGAGGCCTCCCTCTGGCAGATGCTGGGCAGGAAAACAAGCCTAGCAGTCTTGGCCGCTTCCTCCTTTCCTTATGAGGCCCAGGGGAAACAGCAGAGGTTTCCCACCCCACAGGGGGACACATCCTTTCGCCTCCTCACCTAACTGTGCTTCACCCTGACTGGACTCTGCCTCCTCCCTCAGCCCCCTTGGCCCCGTCCTCACCCGTGTGCAACATGCTGACAAGGCTGTGCAAAGTAAGCATCTCATTACACGTTTACGTGTTGTACATACCTTCATTAAGATTTTGGAAAACGAAGTTAGCCATCCTTGCCCACCCCTTATCCCAAAGTAAGAACCGCGTCCTCATGTCTAATCTGGCCCTTGTATCTTGGGGTCTCCAAAGCCTCCACCTGGATCCACACATTCCACAGGGATGTCCCAAGCACTGGGTGCTGGGGAAAATCGTGAGCAGAACACCCCCTGCCTTGAACTCACAGGACAAAGGAATTCAAGGGCAGAGATCTGGGGGCACACACAGGGATGAAGGGTGGACAGACGCAGGTGGACGCTGGAGGTAGGGGAACACACGGGGGCACCTAACGCAGGTTTCTGGGAGTGATGAACTGCATTCCACCACCTAGCTGCCTGGTTTTGTAAATCAAGTTTTACGGGTTCCCAGCCACACCCATTCATCCATACCCTGCCCTGGACTCCCACGTGCACTACGGAGAAGTGAACCAGAGGTTATAGGTCCACAAAGGCTGCAGCACCAACTCCCAGACCCTAGAGGAATGAGACTCTGCTGAGACCTGAAGGAGCAGCAGGAGTCAGCCAGGAAGTATGGGGGAGGGGAAAGCATTCCGGGCAGAGGAGGAGGATCTGGGAAGCCTAAAGGGGAGAAGGAGCCCAGAGCGGCCAGGGACAAGCTGAGCAAAGAGGCCGAAGGTGGATGAGTGGAGAGGTGAGCCCGGAGGAGAGAGCGGGGACAACGTGAAGACTCGTGAGTTTGCCAAGGATTTGAACTCAAGGTGACACGGGTGACCGGACCACTCTCATTCAGCCTCCCCACCGCGCACGGCGGCCAGGCCTGCCACAGCCTCCAGAGCCGCTGATCACGACCCTTTCCCCATGCCCTCGCCTAAGTGAGCGGCACAGGAAGTTCCCTCTGCCTTTGCCTCATGCTCTTAACCAGACAAGGTCAAATGCCTTTGGTTCCTCTTCACAAAGGCTCTGAACACTGGCTCCCTCCAGGTGACCTTCATCCGTCCCTGAAGCACCCCACAACCACATTCAAGAGATAAGTGACACAAAATGTGTGAGCCTGGTCCTGTGCCTCCCATGTTTGAGCCTGTCCGGGGTCCCCTCTTCTCTCTCCATTGTGCTCTGTGCTCAAAGAGGCCAGCGCTCCGATGGCTTCATGTCTCACCTCCATAGCCCTCCAAGGTCTTACGCTTCTACTCTGTACATGAGCTGGGCCCCTGGATTCTCCACAGCCCCTTCCGATTTAGCAGGGCCTACAGGCAACTCCCCTGCAGCACTCCCATTGTCCTGCACTGAAAGCCACACTTCTGTTCTCAGCTCCCTCTCTATTCTACAGCCCCATGCCCAACCTACTGCCAGTACAGGACCCCTGGCTCTCTCCCCAGCACCTGCTCTCAGTCCTGCCTGCAGCCCTCTGGGATGCTCCATTACCTGACTCACAATCGCCTCGTGATGACTCTGAACTCTGCCCACTCGCCCTGCGTGCTTCCTTCAACCTTGTTTCTTCTGAGCGTCTCGTGTGCACAAAGTTGCTGGTCCCCATCGCTGGCCCCTATGTTGCCCGCCATACCACTCAGTAGTGCGGGATCCATCTATACGCTCATTCACCACTGGTGCCCTTGCCATGCTGTAAATGGGGAGCAAGGGCCACGGCCACAGTGACTGGCAGGGCAATGGCACACAGGGGCCCTCAGTCCTACCTGAGCTCTCATCTTGCAGTTCTTCTCTCAGATTTTCTTGCTGTAGGACTGTTCCCCGTGCTTGACCTGGGTAAACTACAAGACTGTTTCCTCTTTAACCTGCTTTCACCCAAAGGTACATGAACTAGACCTTGCATACTCTTACAATCCTCACACAACTAATACCAGGTACTGAAGAAAGGCAGAAATAAGCCCCCGAATCTCAACACAAATCAGACTTAATGCTCTGGGGAAGAACAAAAGAGGTGACTGTATCTGTGTCTGCACGTGCTGCCCTGCCCCAAAGCCAATCCCCAGTGGCATGCTAAAGAGAAGCAACAGCCACAGTGACGAGGCCAGGAGTGCTTCCTCTTCCTCTACTCCTCCAAGGCTGATGGAAACTTCGTAGAGCTTTGGCTCATTACTCAAGAAGAGCCTGTTGACCCCGGGGTAGAGACTGGCCGGATGGCAAAGAGAGGGCTCCCAGCTGCACGGATGGTTTAGGAAATGCAGTAACCTCTTGACTCTGGTAAGTCACATGTTCAACCCAAACTGAAACTATCTGTGCTGCTGTTGCTGGGAGGGGGTCATGTGCTACTCTCCTCCCAGCCAGAATGGACAAGGACACAGATGCTGTCACCCACCCAACTGATGCCTCAGCAACCATGCTGACTGATCATTTATTTGCTTTCCGATGAAACTCAGATAAGAGCCTCACAACACAGCACAATAGGTGGGAGCAGCAATGGTGCACTAATGATGCGTTAGTCAACACTGGTCCGTTACGGCTACCCCCAGCCCAGAGCACTTCCTTCCTACACAGCAGTTCCAAAACTTTAGCATGAAGAACCCCTAGCCCCAATCCCAGAGGTTTCAATTCTAATTCAGTGAGGGTAGGTTTTCATTTCCTTTAAAAAAAAAAAAAAAGATTGATTTACTTATTTGAGAGGCAGAGTTACAGAGAGAGGGAGAGACAGAGAGAGAGGTCTTCCATCTGCTGGTTTACTCCCCAAATGGCTGCAAAGGCCAGAGCTGGGCAGATCTGAAGCCAGGAGCTTCTGCCGGGTCTCCCATGTGGGTGTAAGGGCCATCTTCCACTGCTTTCCTAGGCCATAAACAGAGCGCTGGATCGGAAAAGCAGCAGCTGGGACTTGAACCGGTGTCCATATGGGATGCCGGTGCCGCAGGCAGAAAACTCAATGTACCATACCCCAGCGCTGCCCTGGTTTGTGCTTCCCACACCTCTGGACAAGCTGCTGCTTCCACCAGAGGGCTGCCTTTGAGCAGCCCTGTTCCAGAAACTACCCTGCCCCAGAAACACAAATGAGTTCTGAAAGAACACTTCCCAACACCAGCTGTGTGCCCAGCACTGCACTGCACAGTGTGAGATGGCCAAAGAAGGCTGGAAGTCAGGGTACATATGCCCCAGTGCACAGACTCTGGCTGGGAAGACAAGGTGAGTGCCACCAACCACCTGAGGACCACCCCTGGCTTCTTAAAGGTGTAGGATTACTTAATAGCCTTCCTGGGTCAGCACCCATTGGAGTCACAGCTCCAGTCAGCATTATAGGGGAGTCAGCCAGCTCTGGGCTCCTGACCTAATCAGCCCACTACTCACGATTTTTGTCCCCTGGGGCTTGGGTGCCCCTGTAGCTGGTGTCAGGAGCTGCTTGGCCACAGCCTCTCGCTGGGTCACGTCCGTCGCACTTAGGGCTGTGCGACTGCCATCCTCGTTGATGACCATGGAGGCCCCTGGGTGCACGTTGGGGCCATTGATGACTGCTTGCCTCAATTCCTGCACGTTCCAGGGAGTCACCGGCTGAGGGTAGGTCAGTTTTGTGGCAAACACCTAGAGACAGGGAGTACACGTAGAAATTCAGAGTGGGCAGAAGAAGGTTACACGGCCTCAGGATCTGACGCAGGTTGTGTGACTTCCCCCCACAGCGATGTGCAGGAGCTTCTGGGGCAAGAAAGCCCTCCAGTGAGAAAAGCACATCCCGCTGGCCTCCTCCCCGGAGCCGTCTTGCCAGACTCTCCCTCAGGGACTGGAGACCAGGCCTCCTTGTCCAGCTGTCAGTCTGAAGAGAGTAATTGAAGCCTTGCAGTTGATGCATTAGAATTTTTTTTTAACCACTCTAAAACTTCATTTCCCCATCTGCCAACGAATGAGTCTCCAAGGAAAGGAGCATAGCACGGGACACAAACTTGAGAAAGGTGGCGAATCCCACCGGGCCCTCCTTCATCCTAGGCCGTATCACCAACTGATCACACAACTTCCCAGAGCCAAACGTGGCGACAGAAGGTCTTTTTTTTTTTGACAGGCAGAGTGGACAGTGAGAGAGAGAGACGGAGAGAAAGGTCTTCCTTCCTTTTGCCGTTGGTTCACCCTCCAATGGCCGCCACAGCTGGCGTGCTGCGGCCGGTGCACCGCGCTGATCTGAAGGCAGGAGCCAGATGCTTCTCCCGGTCTCCCATGGGGTGCAGGGCCCAAGCACTTGGGCCATCCTCCACTGCCTTCCCGGGCCATACAGAGAGCTGGACTGGAAGAGGGGCAACCGGGAAAGAATCCGGCGCCCCTACCGGGACTAGAACTCGGTGTGCCGGTGCCACTAGGTGGAGGATTAGCCTATTGAGCTGCGGCGCCGGCCGCAGAAGGTCTTAACTCAGGGCTGACAACCCCTGCTAGCCACGTGGCACTTCTGATAGATGATAAAATGCAGTGTGTTCCATTTGGTACCAGGTCTGCAACATGCTCCAATAAAAACAAGCCCACCTCCCCCTCCCCCCCAAAAAAGAAAGAAAAACAGCTTCCTTCCCAAAGAAAAATGAGTTTCCTGATTGAGTTTCTGAACTACTAAATATTATAAACTCCTCTGATGTTTCAATACATCAAAGAGGCTGAAAAGCCCCAGATAAGGGAACTTGTCTACATTTTTCCAGGCCTCTGCACAGTAGCACTCAGTAAGGTGCTTCCCCTACTCCCCCTTGCCCCTGTGCTCCCTATCCCTCAGCCTGCTCTACTGTAAAAAAATATATAAATTTATTTATTTATTTATTTATTCACAGAAAATGGTCGGGGGGGAGAGTGCACACAAGAACGAGCAAGTTTATATCCACTGGTTCATGCCCCAAATGCCTGCAACAGCCAGGCTGGATCAAACCAAAGCCAGGAACCCAGAACTCCACCCAGGTCTCCCACATTGGATAGCAAGGAAGGATGCATCATCTACCATCTCCTAGGACTGCATTAGTAGAGAGGTGGATCAGAAGTGGAGTGGCCAGGAATTGAACTGGGTACAGGTGTCCTACACATCAGCTTAACCTGCTGCACCTTTACCCAAGCCCTCCTGCTCCACCTTTCACATCTGACACGGTGCCGATGCACTTGTTTCCTCTTGTCTCTCCTGCTGGAACCTGGGTTTACCTTTATGAGGAACACTTTGGTCTGCTGGGCCCACTGCTGGGTCTCCAGCTCACTGTCCAGGCTTAGCTCGCTTCCCCGTTCACAGGGCTCTAGGGGCAGGGCAGGCTATGCTACAAGGGGCCGAGAGGCAGTGTGACCTGCTCTGTCCTTCCCACCATGGCCCTGAGACCTGAGGCAGGCTGGAGGTGGGCAGAGGGGTCACTTCAGGGTCCCTCCTCAGGGAACAAGCTACCAGAGCCACAAAGCCAAGCCTAGAATCTATGTTGGTTCAAAAAAGGAGACTAAAAGTCTCTCCCAAGGCTGGGACACTCTAGGTGCTGACACCAAAGCCAACAGAGGTGGCACTGCCTGCTGCCCAGAAAGGGCAACAAACAGGCCCTGGGCCTTTCCTCCCAGCCCTGAGACCCAGGAATGTCCCCCTGGGCTTTGCAACACCTTTCCTTGCTGCTGGGCCCAGCACTTGGAAGCAGTAGGCAAGGACGGAGCCTTCCCAGATGCTTGTCTTGCCCTCATCAGCCCAAGAGAGATCACAACACTTCTGCTCATGACCAGCATCCCCGAGGGAGAGGCAGCCATGGTGTGCGAGGAAACAAGAACTCTCCACGGAGGGCAGGACACCATCACCACAGACCTGATCTCATGCCCATTATGAGGGAAGCTGATTAGTGGGTTGCTGCTAATGAGCACCACAGCTTGAACTAGAAGAGAACTGAGAAAAGGAAGCTGGCTCCCAAAGGCAACACTGATGGGGAAATGGGGTGAGTTGTTTCCTCCAGAAGGAACTGGGGTGATGGGCAACACACGCCTCCTCTTTGGGGGCTCTCTCCCCTTCTTCTCTCATGTGACCGAAGGCTTCTCTCATGCAACCCCTGGCAGGACTACTGTTCCCCTTGCCCTCTTCCTCACCTGTCATGTGTTCAATCTGACAAGGCAAGTTCAAAGACTACGCCAAGGCAGGCAGGAGGCAGGCATGTGGGCAGAGATACGGGAAGCCTTGCCATGAGTTCCCTGGGGCCCCAGAGTGTGGGTCTCCCTTGCGGGGAGATGTCTGAAAGATTGGCACGGAGCGACTGCAAGTTTGTCAAAGCCACATGGGCCACTCAGGAAAAAAGCAGAAGCTACTCCCACCACAGGAACCACAGGCTGCTGCAAACCCTGTCCAGGGCCCTCGGTGGCACTCCCTGTCTGCCACCCACCAGTACCAAATGAGCCCTCTCCCCCTCCCTCGCGTGCCACACACCATGGGAATTCCGATTTCGTTGGTGTTGATGTACATGTCTGGGCAGATGACTGAACGAGCCGCGTAGTCCACTCGCTTTCCCATCATGTGCTTGCGGAACAGGCCTTCCTTCTTCTCCAGAATCTTTAGGGAGAAAAAAGTCCAGAGGAAACATGGAAAAAACAAAAATTAATTAAAGTACAATTACTATGTTTGTTTCGATACTACCAGCTTTGCTGTTCATTCTCTTCAGTTAGCAGTGAAAATCCAACTTACTGCTCACCTGTCTAATGCCGGGGTACTTTTCCATCATTAATTTATCCATCTCACTGTCAAACACGATATTGACGTGGCTCTGAAGGCGAATCCAAATGTTGTAAAGTTTGTCTGTGAGGGACTGGCCCGGAAGTGCGCTTAAAAAGGATCGATCCACAGCAACTGAAGTATCTTTATCCTGAGAAGAAACGACCAAGAAAACAGGCACGAATGACAAAAACTCCGAAAGATCTGGCTTGGTTTTATTTGTATTTTTGATCCTATCTGTGACAAATGATGAGCTTTGGAGTTTGCCCTCACATATCAGTGGCAGAAGTGCTAATAACTCAATCTTGTTAAGTATGTCTGGTTTATTTTAAAAAAATCCATTCATCCATCCATTCATTTATTTGAAAGGCAGAATGAAAGAAGAGAGACAGACAGAGACAGATAGATCTTCCATCCTATAGTTCACTCCCTTAATGGCTCAATAGCCCAGACTTGGCCAAGCTGAAACCAAGAACCAGGAACCAGGAACTCCATCCTGGTCTTCCACATGGGTGCATGGGTCCAAACACTTCCGTTGCCTTCCCATGCACATTAGCAGGGAGCTGGATCGGAACTGGATCAGTAAAGCACTCCGATATGGGTCACCAGTGTCAAGTGGCAGTTTAACCCTCCATACCACCATGCTGACCCAGTAAGTATCATTAATAACACACAAGCCCCATTACATATTTACTAGCCTGTGTCTTTCTGGCAGTAAAACGACCTGAAAACGTAGAAGCTGGCTCCTTTATCAGGCACTTAATAGCTCGTCCCTAAGAAGCCCTTCTGACATCAATACCTTTTTTCTAAAGTTCTATTATCCTGCCAGTTAACCAATTTTCACAAGAATTTCAGCTTTATTTATGGTTTTTAGAAAACCCAATCCAAAGCACTTATGAAAACCAAGTGGAAAAACTGCTTAAAAGAAAAACTGTTTGCCATATGATATGTATGTCCTCAAGATGTGGGTCCCCAACCATGCAATGTCAAGTTATGGTTGTAAGTCTCCAAGTCTCAATGGAGTACTAACCCATCCTTAGAAATAGCTGTGCCCCTGGCCTCATCTCCTCCTTGTCTTCCACTACTTGCTCAGGTGACAGAAACACAGAGGCCTTAGCTACCTGACAGCACTGCCTACTGACACCGTCTGGCCATCCCATGTCCTTCGGTGAGGGTCAGATGACAAAAGAAATAGAGCAGTGTAGTGGGCTGGCAGGGAGGGTGGGTGAAGACCCAGTAACCTAGACTGTCATGAGAGCCACCAGGGCTGAAGTGTGTTCCAGAGGAACAGAGGAATCTGAGTTACAGGGGAGACGGATGCCATTCTGCAGGCAGCGTCAGGGTCCCTTCCCAGGTCCTGTCTGCCTAAGTCACTGCTGATGGGCTTCCCTGGCTCAGGGCCACCAGTTCCCTGTCATCTCCCCAGTGCCTAACACAGTGTCAGGTGAGGAACGCCATCGGAATGGAATGAGGGAGGGAAGAACAGCAGCGTCCCGCTCATCAGAGGGAAACTGTGACTTTGGATCCGAGAACATACTGTTTGTTCCTACTGAGACTCAACCTTTATTTTTTGGACAGATGGGCTGCCCTATTTCCAATGAACACCACAATAAAATCATCAGCTCTGATCACTGGATCTGTTATCCTACGGCCTTGCATCGTAGATGGGACTAGGGCCTGCAGAGGGCAGCTTTCTCTTACACTGAGAATTTTTTTTCAAAGGACACCTACACAGGCTAATCAGAAAACTTAAGCAAAGCCAGAGAAAGCTCCAAGGAGAACGCCTGGGTAACACAAGAGCAGCCATGTTCAGGAGACAGTGGCGCCACCTTGTGATGGGTCTGGCTGACAGCAGGACTGTCTCTGGCTAACAGGAGTCCTTTCCTATTTGTATCGAGTACCCTAGAGCTGGGGAGGAGTCCAGTGACCTCAGCAAGCTTTCTGAGCACTCAATTCATCTTTATATCCAGTAAAGACCTAGTGCAAGGCTTGTCACACCAAAGGAGCTCTGGCAATGTGATCTGAGACTCTCTTACCCTGGAAAATTCCTACTCTACAACACTGCTTTCCAGTGCCCAGAGCTGGGGAGCTAAATGACCCAGAAGCCGACAAAGGCCTAGAATAGCCTCGATGTGAAACCTCTAGGTGGAGACCAGTCCTAGAAATTAAAGTGACTCAACTAAGGTCTCTCAGTGTTAGTATCAGCCCAGACTTTGCCATGCCCACGCTCATGCCTACACCTTGGACCTTAACCAATTCATCCAAACCCACAACTCCCACTAGGGGTGCTGCCAGCTGCAGAGGATATCCCAGTGGCATCAGCCGGCACCCACATTTGTATCCATACTGCATGGGGGCCGGACCCAAGCATGTGTGCCTAAAGCATCAGCACCAAGGCGGTACTGACCTCTTCTGTGACGGGTAGTGCCACCTCACATGGCAGCTTCTGCTCCTGCGCCATCAGTGCCAGAAGCTTTCGGATCAGAACTACATCCTTCATGACAGCCTGCAGATTCACTGTCTGGCCATTGGTAAACATCTGGTCCCCCAGGCGATTGACAGGGCGATACCTGCAGGGGACAGATAGAATCGACAAATGTTTAGCTCGAGGTGAGGGCCGTGTCCTTCAGCCTCTCACCCACGTCTACCTGTAGGCAACAGACAACACCACAAGCAAACAGACAATATTCCTTTAGCATTCACAACAACCAGACAGGAGAATACTTCCTCCTCCTGCAAGTGGAAGGAAATGCTGATTTATTTCTCAGGGCCCTTGGCCCTCCCATGGGTTGTCACTTAGTTCCTCAGCCAGTCTTTTCTGCGTAGACAGTTGATGAGAGGGCATTACCTTGAAGGTGGTACAACCATGAAATCCAGGAAGAACACAGCGGGGTTGAATCCGGACTCCGTGCCAACATCATCCAGTCCAGAAAAGAGGTAATTCAGAAAGAATCCTGTGTTTGAAATAGGCCAAAGAGATCATTTAAATCTCTCCAAAAAAGTACAACAGGACAACCCCAAAAATATTCCCCAGTGAAGAAAAAAAAAAACAAACAGAGGGTAATATGTAGAATGAGTTCACATTCTTCTCATAAAAACAAACAAAAAACAGCCTTTGTGTGTATGGCAGCTTGTATGCCAATGAGCTAACAGTATAAAGACAGTACCACAGGGGCAACACTGCGTAACTCAAGGATTGAATTGAGCAGGAATGAAAAAAAACAACTTCCTCTATTTTTAATTATCTTCCTGGATTACTAAGATACACAATTAATCAGATACTTACTACTCTGGTGTTTATAAAAACTGACTTGGGTACAAGCATTTGGCCTAGTAGCTGAGATGCCAGTTGGGACACCCGCTTCCCATGCTGGGGTCCTAGGTTTGAATCCTACCTCTGCTCCTGATTCTAGCTCCCTATTAGTGTATAACCTGGGTCCCTGCTACCTATGTGGGAAAACTTGGATTGGGTTTCTGTCTCTTGGTTTTGGCCTGGCCAAGCTCAGGTGGTTGTGGGTACTTGGGCAGTGAGTCAAAAGATGGCAGCGTCTGCTTTCTCTCTCTGCCTCTCAAATTAAAAACACATAAATTTTTTAAAAATTTATTAAAAAAAAAAGAAAAATAAAAAATGTTAGCTTTCTTAAAACACGAGGATGGATGTTGTGGCCCTTGGGATGCCTGCAGCCCATATTGGAGTGCTGGTTCAAGTCCCAGCTCCTCTGCTTCCAGTCTGGCTTCCTACTAATGTCTCCTGGGAGGAAGTAGACCACGGTGCAGATGCTTTGGTCCCTGCCACTCCTGTGAGAGACCTGGATGGAGTTCTGGGCTCCTAGCTTTGGCCTGGCCCAATCCTGGCTGTGGTAGGCATTTGGGGAGTAAACCAGGGGATGGAAGATATTCTCTCTGCCTTTTAAGCCAATGAAAATTTTTTAAAAAATCAAAACAAAACACATCCTCCACATGGGTTCTGCCAAAAAGGGATCTTTTATTGGTCAAGGCTGTATCTTAAGTTTCTGGTGACCTAAAAAAAATGCTAAGAGAAACTGAATAAAAAGTACTAGAGGCCGCCACAGAAAGGATCATAGTAACTCCAGTGCTTTTTTTGATATTACACAGGGGTTACAGTCAGTATTCTAGAACACACAGAGGATGGACAAGAAGGCTTGGATCCACTGCAAAAGCTCTGTCATACACTCAAAAGGGAATAAAGAATCCCCCCCTTTTTTTTTTGTAGGGAATTGAAATGTGAAGAAATTAACATCTTTTTAAAAAAGCTCATTTTTTGATTTATAGAAGGAACTCCCACAGAAACTGTTAAAGGGGCCTTTTTTTTTTTATGGGCATTTGAAATACTGTGAGTTCCAGGGACCCTTCAGGAAATACAATCTTTTTAAGCTGGGCCCTCCTGCAGCTTTTATTTAAGGTCAGGCTCATTTATAGTAATCAGCAAGTTCTTGGTGCTAGGTTTCACCTCCTCGACTCCACGAGGCCTCAATGTCAACGTACACTGAAGCCTGCCCCAAACCTATGGATCAATTTCAGGAGACAGCTACAATAATCACAACTTTATAAAAACAAAAATACTACACGAGGGTTAGCGAGTCCAGGAAATGAAAGCCTAGAGAAGAAAAGGGCTATTCCTCTAGCTCGTACAGTACCTTCATTCTTCCAAATGGCAAAAAGATGTTCTCGCGCACTGTTTGGTGTTAGGTACCCTCGTTTTCCCATCTGTGATTCCTCAATTCCTGGAGGTGAGGAGGGGAATCAAAGCCACATAAATCAGTAACAGGTACTCTGGCTATGAGATTTATCAATTCTCTGTCCCCACCCTGCAAAGCCTGCAACTGACTGCCAAAATCAATCTTTACACAGTTTTATTTTCAGCTCTGGCTTTTCTCCCCTTCATATAATTTCTAAAGTAATGAAAGCAATATACAGCAAAAGAGAAATGTTAGTCACTACTCCATTATATTCGCATAACGATGATCACTTTTATATATTCTTTTCCAGTCATTTCCTTTATAGAAGCATTTTATGTAACTGTAATCTTCAGTGTGCACTTCCTTTATACATTATTTCACTCACTTAGTATCCTCTGGTGAGCATTTCTACATGTTGCTACATAGCTTTTGCCTAACCAACCACCACTTATTATTTAAGATGTTTATTTATTTTTCTACATGAAAGGCAGAGGGAAAGAGAAGACAAGACAGAGAGAGAGAGAGAATCTTCTATGTGCTGGTTCACTTCCCAAATGACCGCAAGAGCCCGGGCCTGGCCAGGCCAAAGTCTGGACCCAGAACTTCATCGGGGTCTCCCAGAAGTGTGGGAGGGACCCAAACACTGAGCATCATTTGCTGACTCCTGGTATGTACTCACAGGAAGCTGGATCAAAAGTAGAGCAGCCAGTACTGAAACCAGTACTCTGATTTGTGATGTGGGCATCTCAAGTGGTGGCTTAACCTGCCGTGCCACAGTCCGCACCCCTGCCTGACCACCACTTCTGAAGGCTGCACAATGCTCCACTGAAGATGCTTGCTAAGTTGCTTAGCTACACTCGCACAGTTAGAAGTCTGGAGAGATTCCAACTTTCTGATATTATAAGCAACACTATGATGAATACCTTCATGCACAGGGCTTTTACCAGAAAGGTTTTGAGGAGCAGACTTCAGGGAAAATCAATGCAGACACTGTTATGGGTAAACAGATATTGATTTCTTTGTACGAATATCATACCAGTATGTAAGAAGATTGGGTGTGGCTATTCAGACTAAACAAGGTATTCTGGGAGACTGTCAATCAGTTATGCCCAGATTAAGTTTGGAAATCAGACTTGGGAATTCCATTCAGGAGATCAGGCCCCAGGCGCTCAGAAGAATAGTACAGACAAGTAATGGATCTTCTAGGTGCAAAACTCTGTGGGGAGCAAACCGGACTAGACTGAGTTACTGGAATTAAGACTTATTCTATGCATCTGCTCTCCCACAATATGGCGATGGGAGAGAAGTAAACAGCTTCCGCACAGCTGCCTCCAGTTCAACTAATAAACTGTAGGACTTGCTCCTGATTGGAGGAGAGCAGCGTACTCGGCGTGTGGGCAGCCGAGTTGGGATTGGCGGAGGAGGACTATAAAGGAGGAGAGAGACGGCATGCACCAGGAACATCTAAGGGGAACATCTAGCTGAAGGAACACCCGTGCAGCCCCCGAGAAAGCCGGCCGGCGGTGTGCCACTCCCCTGCGGAAGTGGGGAATGTGGCCAGGGGGAACTGCCCTTCCACGGAGGTGGAAGGGATAGTAGCCAACCCGGGAAGAACCAGCAGCAAACCCGGGGAGGGCCGAGCAGACAGAAAGAACAGCGCAGGGTCCTGTGTCGTTCCTCCACGAAGAGGGGGAGCGACACAAAACTCAACCTGTTTGGGGATGCATTTACTAAAACTAGGCATCCCTCAATTCCCCACTTTGATCTACTTCTCAAGGCGGGAGCTGTGCCTCATCTGTGTCCCTAACACTTGACATCGTGTACAGCACACAGCAGATGCTAGTCACTGGTTTGGCATAGATGTCCAAAATATCCCAAATCTTGGGAAAGACTCTTAAGCTATTTGCATGCTTCTGTCCAAATGATTATTAAAAGGGAATTTTGTGGATTAAACCATGGATGTAATGCAGCAAGGAACTCTTAACAATGTCCCTTTTTATATAACATACACCTTGTTTTGGATTTGTGTCATTTTTTTTTTTAATTTTTTTTTTTTTTTTGACAGGCAGAGTGGACAGTGAGAGAGACAGAGACAGAGAGAAAGGTCTTCCTTTGCCGTTGGTTCACCCTCCAATGGCCGCCGCGGCCAGCGCAATGTGGCCGGCGCACCGCGCTGATCCGATGGCAGGAGCCAGGAGCCAGGTGCTTTTCCTGGTCTCCCATGGGGTGCAGGGCCCAAGCACCTGGGCCATCCTCCACTGCACTCCCGGGCCACAGCAGAGGGCTGGCCTGGAAGAGGGGCAACCGGGACAGAATCCGGCGCCCCGACCGGGACTAGAACCCGGTGTGCCGGCGCCGCTAGGTGGAGGATTAGCCTAGTGAGCCGCAGCGCCGGCCCGGATTTGTGTCATTTTTAATATAGCTGACTGACTTTACAGAATGCAGCTTTTTCTGAATTTGACACAGGTGTATCTGTGGTATTATTCTTTTCCATTCTTTTCTCCTTCTAACACTATGTGCAGTTACTTCTAAAGCACAGATTAAATGAGTTCTGCATACTTTTTAAATAATCACAATTCTCGGTTAATACTGATGTTCTCACTATTCATAATACGTAGCAGCACTGTTTATTCTTAGCCACGGCATGTATACACCCATCCAAGTTCCATTATGACATCTTTTTTCGCCTTTATAACTCATGTGATAGTTATCCATAAATAAAAACAAATATGTGTTAACTTTAAAAAAAAAACAAAATATCTCAAATCTATGTAAAAATCCCACTGTTTTTGCCTTTTTCACACTTGTAATATCTAGCTTCACTCCACCTCCAATTCTCCATTTAGTTTCTTTACAATCTGCAGAAAGTTTTTCCACAAATCTAATTAGGATCACAATTAATAGATGCATCATCATTTATTTAACTGGTCTCTATTGGTAAGCACTTCAAACACGCTCAATTCTAAATCATTTAAACAATGCTGTGGATATTCTAATTCCTTAGGATAAAGTCATATGAGCAGAATTAATGGGTCAAGGAGTCTGCACATTTCAAGTTCTGGTACTCTCATGAAAGCAAAGCATTTCAGTGAGTGAACACAACTGAAGGAAGCATTGACCTTGAGGAAAACCACATTAGAAAGCTATGTCTAGGCCGGCGCCGTGGCTCAATAGGCTAATTCTCCACCTGTGGCACCGGCACCCTGGGTTCTAGTCCCAGTCAGGGCACAGGATTCTGTCCCGGTTGCCCCTCTTCCAGGCCAGCTCTCTGCTACGGCCCAGGAGTGCAGTGGAGGATGGCCCAGGTGCTTGGGCCCTGCACCCACATGGGAGACCAGGAGAAGCACCTGGCTCCTGGCTTTGGATCAGTGCAGTGCACCGGCCGTAGCGGCCACTGGGGGGTGAACCATTGAAAAAAGGAAGACCTTTCTCTCTGTCTCTCTCTGTCTCTCTCTCTCAATGTCCACTCTGCCTGTCAGATCTCTGCTATGAACAGAAAGAAAGCTATGTCTATTTATTGGGGGAAAACAGACTCTAATAACCTCAAGAACAGTTGTGTGGGCATGCCTGGATGTGAGTAGCTGCACTTTCTCTCCTACTTCACAGGTGCTGAAGGGCTGATGAAGCTCTAATTGAAGCTCTCCACTTCCTGTCCCACGACGGTAGTTCAGTCGCCATGAGGGGGACTGGGGATGTTCAGTCAAGCGATTTTTAGGGTCAGAACAATCTACAGGAAGCTACTTCCTCACATAGGCTGTGCCTGCTCCTAACAAGGCATTTCTGCAGCCTGCAACAACAAAGCCCCTAGCTGGACTTTCAGAGCACCTTGAATGTGTGTTTAGAGGTGCCATATAAGCAAATGACCTACATGAAAGAGCTCTGTGAGTGAGATCCTGGAGGAAAGAAGGGGCCATCAAAGAAGGAGGTATCTTTCTCTGAAAGGAGGAGAGAACTTTCACTTTGATTATGGGCTGGTCTAAATAATGTTGGAGTTTGTGGACTCAAGAGGCTTCCATAGCCTTGGCAGCTCATGACAAGAGCCTTGGGTGATCACTGATATCATAAAAGAGTGTCAATAGTTCAATCAACAACAGGAGTCACTGTGCACTTGCTCCCCATGTAGGACTTCTGTCTTTAATGAGTTATATTACGAGAATTAATGGTAAAACCAGTCTTCAAACTGTGGGGAGCAACCCGGACTGGACTGAGTTACTGGAATTAAGACTTATTCTATGCATCTGCTCTCCCACAATATGGCGCTGGGAGAGGAGAAAACAGCTTCTACACAGCTGCCTCCAGTTCAGCCAATAAACTGTAGGACTTGCTCCTGATTGGAGGAGAGCAGCGTACTTGGCGTGTGGGCAGCCGAGTTGGGATTGGCAGAGGAGGACTATAAAGGAGGAGAGAGACGGCATGCACCAGGAACATCTAAGGGGAACATCTATCTGAAGGAACACCTGTGCAGCCCCCGAGAGAGCCGGCCGGCGGTGTGCTGCTCCCCTGCGGAAGTGGGGAAAGTGGCCAGGGGGAACCGCCCTTCCACGGAGGTGGAAGGGACGGTAGCCAACCCGGGAAGAACCAGCAGCAAACCCGGGGAGGGCCGAGCAGATAAAAGAACAGCGCAGGGTCCTGTGTCGTTCCTCCACGAAGAGGGGGAGCGACATAATGGTGCCGTGACTCGGATATGAAGCCTAGGCAGGGCTTAGTGTCGTTCCTCCACGAAGAGGGGGAGCGACACAAACGGTACTTTATACTTTGTGTGTCTGTGTGGGTACAAGCTGCTGAAATCTTTACTTAGTATAAAGTTGATCTTCTGTATATAAAGATAATTAAAAATGAATCTTAGGCTGGCGCCGCGGCTCACTAGGCTAATCCTCCGCCTAGCGGCGCCGGCATACCAGGTTCTAGTCCCGGTCGGGGCGCCGGATTCTGTCCCGGTTGCCCCTCTTCCAAGCCAGCTCTCTGCTGTGGCCAGGGAGTGCAGTGGAGGATGGCCCAGGTGCTTGGGCCCTGCACCCCATGGGAGACCAGGAAAAGCACCTGGCTCCTGCCATCGGATCAGCGCGGTGTGCCGGCCGCGGCGGCCATTGGAGGGTGAACCAACGGCAAAAGGAAGACCTTTCTCTCTGTCTCTCTCTCTCACTGTCCACTCTGCCTGTCAAAAAAAAAAAAAAAGAATCTTAATGAAGAATGGAATGGGAGAAGGAGTAGGAGGTAGGAGTAGTTTGGGGGTGGGGAACCACTATAATCCAAAAAGTTGTACTTATGAAAGTTCTATTTATTAAGTAAAAGCTTTCTATAAAAAAAAAGAAAAAAAAAGAGGTGTCACATAAAAAGCAGGTCAGAGGCTGGCATGGTGGCCCAGTGGGTTAAGCTGCTACTTGGATTCGAGCAGCCAATCCCATACTGGAGTGCCCGTTCGCATTCCAGATGCTCTGCTTCTGATCCCACTTCCTAATAATGTGCCTGGCAAGGCAGAGAAAGACAGTCCAAGTGCTTAGGCCCTTGTTACCTGTGAAATCCCAGGTTTGGCCTGGCACACACCTGATTACTGTGGCCATTTTGCAAGTGAACCAACAGATGGAAGGTATCTCTCTGTCTCTCCCTCTTTCTAATGCTGTGCCATTCAAATAAATAAATCTATCTTTTTTCAAAAAAGGGTCAGTCGTCAAAAAATCTGGAAAAGATTGTGTCACAGCACATGGAAAAGTGTTTTGGCTGCAAGAATTTTCACTTAAAATGCTATTGTGCCTCATGGGGCCTCAGAACTCACCGATGCACACACAGCAGGCTACATAAGCACTCCTCATGGGATCACCAGTACATGGGGACCGCCGAGGCCTTACTTCTTGGTTCCCTCTTAGTAGAAGGCTCACGGTCAGAATGCCCACTGCCCCACCTCACCTGTTCCCTGGCGTTACTGACATGTGTCCCTGCAGCCTGTTTATGTAGCTGGTCTCCACCTTGGCACTGTGCTCAACCACAAGCATGGCCCTAGGCATGATGCTGAGTGCCAATTAAGTACATGTTAAATACTAAAACCCCAGGCCTGGAGTCATCAAAAATCACTGCCCACCTATTTCTAATGCACAGACTTTGTCTGCACCATCATCTTCTCGGGCTGCAGTGCGAGGTTATTTCAGAAGAGTGGGTTTGGCAAAGGCATTGAAAGGCTACTTAACTGCTGGATGTCTGCCCCAAACCAACAGCTCTTTTCTAGAATTCAGACCATCTTTTTTTTTTTTTTTCAATCTGTAAACATTTTCTAAGGCATCCCAAGTGGTGTTAAAATTGTATAAAGGGCGCCGGCGCCGCGGCTCACTAGGCTAATCCTCCGCCTAGCGGCGCCGGCACACCGGGTTCTAGTCCCGGTTGGGGCGCCGGATTCTGTCCCGGTTGCCCCTCTTCCAGGCCACCCCTCTGCTGTGGCCAGGGAGTGCAGTGGAGGATGGCCCAGGTGCTTGGGCCCTGCACCCCATGGGAGACCAGGAAAAGCACCTGGATCCTGGCTCCTGCCATCGGATCAGCGCGGTGCGCCGCTGCAGCGGCGGCCATTGGAGGGTGAACCAACGGCAAAGGAAGACCTCTCTCTCTGTCTCTCTCTCTCACTGTCCACTCTGCTGTCAAAAAAAAGATAGAAATTATAAAGGGCTATTAGAAAGTTCACACTGTGGTGTTAACTAGCAATCACTAAACAAAAGTAAACAGGCTTTCTGAATGCACTGTGGTACCCTGGATGGGATCCGGGAACATAAAAAGGATGTTTTTGGAAAAACTGATGAAAGTTAGATAGCGTCTACAATTTCATTAATGGTACTGAACCAATTTCAAATCCTTAGTGTTGATAAACGTGTCACGGTCATCTAGGATTTTACACTACGGCAAACCGAGTAAAGAGTACATGGGAACTTTTTGTACTATGCTGGGTATTCTTTAAGTTTGAAATTATTCTAAAATTAAAGGTTTATTAAAAAAATAAGAAACAGGTTCACTATTTACTCCAGGCCTTGCCAAAGTCTTCAACGTAAAAGACACATCATACCTCTCCAGGAGAGGGACTCATTTCTCAGCCTATTCCATACTCTCAAGCCCTGGAAAAAATGTTTGGTAACATCATCTGCTATGGGCTTCAACCCAGAAGATCCCCTCAGCTCTGGGCAACAGGTTTTGTTACTGTCTCTTTATGTAGTTGGAAACTAAGAAGTAGCTTTCTCTGAGCTAGTGAGAGTACGCAGCAGAAACAAGTGTCAATATCAAGTTGCACCTTTTATCCCCTGGCATGTTGTTAATACAACAACAAAATATATATAAAGCTCTATATTCTATAGTTAACACCTGTAAAACACCTAATACAGTGACAGTGTTGAGGTGTAGCTGTTTAAGCCACTGCTTGCAATGTTGGCATTCTTTGATGGAGTACCAGTTTGAGTCCTGGGTACTCTATCTTCTGATCCAGCTTCTTGCCAATGTGCCTAGCCCCTGCCACCCATGTGGGACACCAGGACACAGTTCCTGGCTCCTGGCTTCAGCCTGGCCCAGTCCTAGCTGTTGCAGCATTTGGAGAGTGAACCAGCAGATGGAAGATTTCTCTCTCACTCTGCTTTCAAATAAACAAACCTACAAACAAACATAACATATAGCAGGTACCTGTCTCGGGATATCACATGGAATCCCTTAGTCTTTCTCACTTCACAATAAAAAACAAAAAATATTTAACTAATAAGCTCATAACTATAGGGTGGGCATTGTAGTGCTGTGGGATAAGCCACTGCCTGCAAGGCCCACTCGAGCATCGGTTCAAGTTCTGGCTGCTCCACTTCTGATCCGGATCCCTGTTAAAGTGCCTGGGAAGGGAGTGCAAGATGGCCCAAGTGCTTAGGCCTCTGCCACCCATGTAGGAAACCCAGATGGAGTTGCAGACTCCTGGCTTTGGCTTTGTGGCCATTTGGGGAGTGAACTGGCAGATGAAGGACTTCTCTCTCTCTCTAACCCTGCCTTTTAAATAAATATTTTTTTAAGTGGGCTAAACCCAAAAATACAAAAATAATAAAGTAGGAGTTCTCAGTCTATCAAAATTCTCCCTAGTGTGCCCTAGAGGGTGTGTGCTGAGCAGCGCTGAGAAGACCCCACCCACAGAAACCTGCCTGGAGAGCCAGGAGCAGCCTGAAGGAGACAATAACATTCTGTGGAATTCTTGTGGGTTTTCTTAAAAATCGTTCACCTACATTTTATCCCAAGTACATTCATACTTGCTTTACGATACAATGTTCCTAAATATTTGCCAGAAAAATCTCTTCCTCAGGAATCTTCCAGGGGGATAGCTGCTTAACCTCGCAGTTAAGCTACCCGCACCTCACATCACAGGACATGGGTTCAATTCCTGGCTCCAGCTCCTAACTGCAACTTTCTGTCAGTGCAGCCCCTGGGAGGTAGTGGTGATGGCTCAACTAATTGGGTTCCTGTCACCATGTGAGAAATCCAGATTGAGCTCCTGGTCCCTGGCTTTGGCCCCAGCCTAGCCTGGCCACTGTGGGCATTTGGGGAGGGAACCAGCAGACTGGAGTGCACTTTCTTTCTCTGCCTTTCAAATTAGAAAAACAAAAAAACACCAAAAAACTTTCAGTAAAAACATTGGAGCCCAAGAGGCAACCACAGATTCTGCCTCACAATGTAGCTCTGCTCACCAGCTCCCCTGGCTGCAGGCCTGGGCTGGGCACTCACTTACATCCCTAAGTGGCCTGGATGCCGTCCCTCTCCGATGACCACAAATACGCAGTTAAGAAACACGTGGCAATGAGAACAAGGGGTTGCCCAGGTCTGGGACACATCAGACAGCCACCCATGGGGAACATGGCTGAGAAGCACCTGCTAAGAGCCAGCCTGCTTACCCAGCGACTCCGAGTCCTGTTGCCCAGCTTTCTTGTGCACAATGGCAGGATACGTGATCGTCAACTTGCTGTTGTGCTCCTTTCGGACAACTGACCGCCCAGTCCTGCACATGAAGAAGGTTGTGATTGAGCAAAGAAACCCCGATGAGACATTCGGTGACAGCTGTGGGTGACTGGCCAGAGCCTGCTCACCTGGAGAATGGGGAAAGGCAGGTGCCCCTAATACTCACTTGCAATGGGGACATCGCTTGGCAGTCATATGTGTCTTCCAGAAATAAGCAATGAGTTTGCTCCGGCTCTCACACACATTTTTCACCTGTTAAAAACAGTCAGAGAACTTTGCAGTGCGATTTTGAAGAGAATACAATAGGTATTCAAATTTTGTGCTTCTCTGCTTTTATTTTCTAGCCAGAGTTTGAAACTGCTGCTGCCGCTTAAAGTTTTCCACAGAATGCAAATACAGCCAAGCCCTGCCAGTTACTAAGGGACCTCTTTACCGGTTCCTCCGTTCGCAATACGGGAACAAGTGCAGCCATCACCTCAGAAAGCTGTCACCAGGACAACCAATCAGGAGCGCAGTGCACTAAGAGCCCAATGAATGCTAGTTCCTTTACTTTTTTAAAACAATCTCTCTGATGCAGGAGGGGCACCAGCCCTGCTGCCTCCCTCAGACAGACCTCAGGGTTCTGAGGATGGTGCATCCACAGAAAGGCACCAGGAGTGGTTCTGAGTCTGGCTGCAGACAGAGCCCAGCTGGGAGCTTCGGGCCCTGCCCCAGACTATTAAATAAGTTGTCTCTGGTGTGAAACCCGAGCAAGGGCTCCACTGGCTCCAGGATTCATGCTGTAAGTTGATTATCTACTTCACTCATTCACTGCACAAAGCAATCCTTACACAGGAGCTATGCACTAGGGCTGAGGGTGGTACAAGAAAGTGTTGGAGAAAGAAGAGGAGGACAAACAGGCCAGCGTGCCAGCGTGGACGCTGGCTGTATGCTACACTTAAGCATACAGATGTCACCTAAACTCTCATCAGTTCTCCAGACACACACGCACTAAAGATGAGGAAACAGACACTACAGAGACAAGTATTTTATGTAATTTGCCCGCCACAGGTCTCTTAAGCAGAGCTGGGATTCAGATCCTGGCCTACCTTGGGAGGCCAAAAGCACATGTAAATGACAGTGTCGAGGGAAATGTGATAATTATGATAAAAACATTATTAAGGGAAAAGAGAGACAGCGATAACTCACATGCGCACCCTGGGACCCCAGCAGGTTGTTCTGTACTATTTCGGCTGTGTACTTTTCTAACTCTTCCTGAATTTCGAAGGCAGAAGGATCAGCATTTTCTTCCAGAAACTGGAAAACAAAGAGGAAAATCGTGTTACTGCAATAAAGTTAATATTTGTCTGATGTGCAGCATCCCTCGAGCCAGTCCTTCCAGAAGGTTACTTTGAGGGGAGAAAAAAAAAAGACACCATGGCTGCTGAGCTGCATTTTCAAAATAGTGAGGCAAGATTACTGCTGGAAAATCCAACAGAACACCCTTGCTTTCAATAAAGGTAGCTTAGATTAGTTGGACAAAATCTAGATTGCAAAGAACCAAGAAATGGTAAAACATTTATCAAAACCTTAAAGCTTTGGAGAGCTGACAGGTCAGCAAGGAATAACTACACCAAACTGGAGGGACAACAGGGATCCAGCAGGGTCAGGGAGTGCATGGGGGACATGTGTGCATGGAAACATCTGCATGGAAAATGTTCAGTATACGTATGTGCCCTTGAGGAAGACACCAACGGATGGCCATGAGGCTCCCTGGAGCTCTGGGACATGCCAGCCCTGGCCTGCGTGCATTTTCGAAATCAGCAATTTTATATTTTTCATTTTGAAGGCCTCAAATGGTGTGGCAGTCTAATAGGACACTATCACTCCATACTCCGCCCCCCCCAGCATAATCTAGGAACCCACCCTCAGGAACTATCAGCCTCTGTACAATCACGTGGGCAGTCCAAGGGATGCGGACTGTGACCGTCCTGGGATGGGGGGCTCTGAAGCCCAAGGCTGAGGCAGTAAGAATCCTCTTCAGAAGAAGGCAGCATTGTCCTATGCCTCAAATTATTCCCAGAAGGAGGTTTTTAAGCACAATAACAAACTGTACACAAGTACACAAGAACCAAGGAGAGGAGAGCGATTCCGGAACATGGGCAGTATCTTGATATTTGAGGGCCCTTTTTTTTTTTTTTAAAGAATCATTTTTATTTTGAAAGAGTTACAGGTAGAAAGGGAGAGACAGAGGGAGGAGTCTTCCATCTGCTGGTTCACTCCCCTGGAAGCCGCAAAGCCAGTGCTGGCCTCGGCCTAAGCCAGGAGCTTCATCCAGATCTTTCACATGGCTGGCAGGGGTCCAAGCATTTGGGCCAACTTCTGCCGCTTTTCTCAGGCCATTGGCAGGAAACTGGATTGGAAATGGAACAGCCAGGACTCGAACCAGTGCCGATGTGGGATGCTGGCATCGCAGGTGGCAGCCTTACCTGCTATGCCACAATTCCAGCCAATACACATAGAAGTTTTAAATTCCATTTCAACATTACGAGACTAATTCTGGGGTTCTCTCTTTTATATATCGTAATTCCTTTTCCTGATAGTGTGAAATCTAGCCCCGATTATCCTTAACCTATATTCTTATTCAATCAGTCCCTCTCCCTTATGCGCACTCTGACTGCTATCACCCCTCCTCTGTATGCCCCCCTCTTGCCTGGCCTGGGCTCACACCCCTCACCAGTCCATCTCCTTGCAGATGCCTTCCTGACCCTGTTTGGGCTCATGTCCTCCCGCAGCCCTCACCCCGGGCCTCCTCCCACTGGCAGCCTCTCCCCTGATTGGGACTGTCATTTATCATCTGATCAGCATCTCCTCCGCTGACTATTTGACCTTTGGCATCTGACATGGGGCTGCTTGAGCTGAGCGCCCGTGCTGGGAAGCCCCACTCCTGGATGTTTCCCTCACCCTGCTGGGGCGCAGACACCCATGCAGGGCCTTGCTGCTCTGTGCACTCCTACTTGTTCTGCCTCCCAGATGTCTTTAGGACTGAAGTTGTCAGGAAGAGGGGAAGGGAAGATGAGAAACAATACAAGCATGCCTATTTCCACTTCAACACAGCACTGCAGATCCTAGTCACCAAAATAATCCAAAGAAGGACCGAAAAGGAACAAAACTGCCCTGAAGGCTGGCCCTCCGCAGCCACAGGTCCCACATCCATGGACTTAACTCACAGTGGCTCATGCTCTGTGCAGCTGGACGTAGTTTCTTGATATTCCCTAAACAACACAGCATAACAATTATTTGCGCAGTGTTTACATTGTATTAGGTGTATTGTATTAAGTGACTGAGAGATCATTTAAAGTATTTAGCAGGATGTGGGTAGGCTACATGCACGCCTATTTTATGTAAGGGACTTCAGCAGCCCTGGATTGTTGTACCCCTGGGGGAACCTTGAACTAACTCCCTCTGGATGCTGAGGCATGACTGCATTTGCAGGGTGACATGACTGTGCCGACAATCTGCAAGTGTATACAGATAATGTATTAGAATTAATGAGAGTTTTGCCAGGCTGCTTCACCTACAACCAATAATATTCTGACACATCAACAAATAGGAAATGAAATTTTAAATAAAGTATTTACAATAGCACCAGAAATCTGCAGTAAATTACAAAATTTACAACAGAAATGGTGATCACCACCTTATCCAAAAATAACCCGATTTAGAACTACCAATAAGGGAACAACTTGTCATCACGAGCCTCCTATAATGCAGCAATATGAAGTATTCAATATCACATAGACTGTATTCTTGCACAAACATGATCCTCATGAGGAAATTATCATCAGACAATAAATGGTCTTTCATCTTCAAAAAGTCTGTTTCATGGAAAACAAACCAGAGACGTGATAAGGAAAAGCAGTGCGTAAGTCCTGGGTAGATGGAGGGGAGAGAAAGAAAGCCCACCACAGACAAAATTCACCGCTGTTCCCACCGCCACTCTTCAGTCCCTTGACTGCTTCACCTGGCCGCTGGCCTTTGGTGAGGATGCTTCAAGCATTCTGGGGACCACGAGGGCGGCAGTGAGGGACAGCACGCAGGCACCTCCTGTCTCCGCCACTCTGCTTCCCCTCACGTCCACGGCCGCCGTTACACACCTACCCTGTTCAGAATCCGCTCGAGCTCGAAGACGGCTTGCAGGGCCCCGACTTCCAGAACCCTCAGCTGGCAGAACAAGAGGTGGATCACGGCCCGGGGACAAGTCAGCATGTGGCAGTTTAAACAAGAGCCCCGGAGCAGCAGGTAGAGTTTCTGGAGAGGGAAGAAAAACAAAGAGGCTAGGAGAGAGACACGGTAACCCTGGGGACCTCCGGCGTACTCCTGTGCGACATCCTCTCCTCCCTCAAGTAGTCCGAGTCACCTAAGACGTTTATAAGGGCCTTTGTGACCCTAAGTTTACATTTTCCCCTGTATTTTCTTTTATGGCTGCATTTTAATCCACAAAATTAGGAATTTAGTGTGGGTGTATGGTCTGAGGTAGGAGGTTACTTTTCTTTATTCCAAGTATTTAAATAAGACAATTCTCTTCCCTTAATATATTTTTTTATTTTATTTTATTTATTTATTTATTTATTTTTTTGACAGGCAGAGTGGACAGTGAGAGAGAGAGACAGAGAGAAAGGTCTTCCTTTGCCATTGGTTCACCCTCCAATGGCCGCCGCGGCCGGCACGCTGCGGCCGGCGCACCGCGCTGATCCGATGGCAGGAGCCAGGAGCCAGGTGCTTCTCCTGGTCTCCCATGGGGTGCAGGGCCCAAGCACCTGGGCCATCCTCCACTGCACTCCCTGGCCACAGCAGAGGGCTGGCCTGGAAGAGGGGCAACCGGGACAGAATCCGGTGCCCCTACCGGGACTAGAACCCGGTGTGCCGGCGCCGCAAGGCGGAGGATTAGCCTAGTGAGCCGCGGCGCCGGCCCTTCCCTTAATATATTAACAGACATAAACCATCGTGTGTGTAGCTCCTGGAGGCTAGGCTTGCTGGTATAGAAAAGGAGGGCCCTGGACAGGGGCTTCATTCTGATCCGACCATGGGGCTTGCTGGAGCTCTGCTTCTGCCACCAAGCAGGGGCCTACAGGTCTACTGCAGGGCTCGGGGAGGCCTTGAGAGTGCTGAACCATCAGCCAGCAGGGAGGCACCACTAGCTTTAAAGCCCCTACACAGAAGCTTCAGGGGAGGAGTCTGAGCACACGCTTCCTCCCACAAGAACACAATCAAGCTGCAGCTTTTCTCAACTGGGACCAAAGGGCAGCTTTTCTCAAACTGGAACCCAGTAGTTGTGGCTACTGGGCAAGGTGAAGCCTTAGCTTCAGCTCCTCAGGGTTATAAACCACTCTAAAGAACACATGAACCACAGATGCCTGGAGTTCAACCTCTCATGGGGAGAGGGCAGCACTCCCAAGCCCCACCAACAGCCCTGGGACCCACGTGCCCCGGGCAGTACTTACGTCGAAGAGGAGCGGGTTGTACACAGTGAGGGGCAGCTCAATGTGGCCCAGGTGCCCGGAGCAGTTGTTGAAGTCCTGCACGCAAGTGGCACATACTTCTTTGGAATCTGCAGGGCCCAAGGCTAAATCGTACAGGCCATTGGCCGAGGGGTTCCCCAGGCTGTCCACATAGCGAGGATTTGTAATAGATTTCACACTTAATTTCCTGGAGACATAAAGAATGACAAAGGTCAAACTCAAGTTACCGACTTTCCTGACATGTCTTTGTTGGCATTCACAAACCTGTAGTCAAGAGGTTATGCTGTCAGCTCCAGAGGGCAGAACCTCTGACCGCCATGCCTACCACTATACCCCACACTTGAAACACAGCCAGCACATAACAGGTGCTAAATGAATTAGACAGTGTAAAAGGTGTGCAAAATGCATTGGTGGATTGTTTATAAAGAGGAGTAAGCACCCGCTACATGCCGAAAGCTGTAGGTCAGGGGTAGAGAACGTCCGGCCCACAGGCCATAGAAGGCCCAGAACAGCATTTGGTCTGGCCTTGCCAAGGTAACCACAGGTAGGACTCAAAATTCAATAGATCAGGGCTGGCACTGTGGTATAGAAGATTAAGCTGCCACCTGCAGTGCCAGCATTCCGTATGGGCTACAGTTCGAGTCCCAGCTGTTCCACTTCCAATCTAGTTCCAAAGCAACAGAAGATGGCCCAAGTACTTGAGCCCCTGCACTGGTGTGAGAAACCCAGAAGATCCTGGCTCCTGGCTTTGGATTGGCCCAGCTTTGGCCATTGCGGACATTTGGGGAGTGAGCCAGTGGATAGAAGATCTCTTTCAAATAAATAAACAAATCTTCGGGGAAAAAAGCAGCAACATTAAGTAATCCTGGTCTTAACTCTAATCTGAGATGGGCATCACTATATGTGTTTTTCAGGAGGGGAAACTGAGGCTCAGAGCAATCAGGTGTCTAAATTCAAGAAAACAAATATTCAAACCTCTGAGACCCAGAACTTGATTTACAAAAGATTTCATCATATTTCATATTCAATGTAAAGACTCCCACAGGACATTCAAATAACTACTTTTACAAAGCCAACGCTGCTTTTTAAATGTTTTCTTTCCTGATCTATAAAATAAACAACAAATAATCCCAGGGGCCAATGTTGTGACACAGCAGGTTAAGCCATCATCTGTGACACTGGCACCCCATATCAGGGCGCCAGTTCAAGTCCTGGCTGCTCTACTCCCAATCCAGCTCCCTCTTAATGCACCTGGGAAAGCAGCAGAGAATGACCCAAGTGCTTGAGGTCCTGCTAACCAAGGAGGAGATGCAGATGGAGTACTCGGCTCCTGGCTCAGCCTTGCCCAGCCCCAACTGTTGTGGCTGTTTGGGGGAGCGAACCAGCAGATGAAGATCTCTCTTTGTCTCTTTCTCTCTGCCACTGTGCCTTTCAAATAAATCAATCTAAGAAAGATGGTTTTAATTAAAAAATAAATAAATTATCCCATCCTCACACCCTAGAGGAAAACTGACAGCAGGGCCCAGCTGGGGACGAAAGCCCCCTTCTGATGTACACACTCCCTCTAATGAAGCACAAAGAGAATAAAGACCTCAGCAAGTGGGGACTCACGTTCTGGGTATAAAGTGATGATGACCCAGCAGGAACTAAGCTGCTCAGATCTGAAGGACCCTATGTTATATGGCCAGTGTCGCCCTAATGGCCAAGGCCAACTGGAAGACACACCTGTTGCTGTGGCTCTGGTCAATGTGGACCCCTTGCTGCCAGTAAGAAACTCTATTAAGCCAATGTTGAGTGGGTGGGCTATTTCCACAAACCTGGAGTGCATCTGCAACCCTGCACTGGGAAACACTGAACAAACTACTTAGCTTCTTTTTTGATCTCAGCTTAGAACTTACTGTTGTCATCATTTTGAAGAGTATAGTTGAGTGGTAGTAAGAATATTTACAATATGCTATCAACACCACTGTCCATTTCCAAAATTTTCTTCTTGCTGAAACTGAAACTCTATACCCATTATACAAGAATTCACATTCTCTCTCTCCTATCAACTCCCATTTTACTTTGCTTCAACTGATCTGCCTACACAAGGTGCTTTACCTAAGTGGACCCAAACAGTACCTGTCCTTTTGTGAATGGCTTATTTTACTTAGCAAAATGTCCTCAAGGTTCATTTACATTGTAGGCTGTGCCAAAATTTCCTTCCTTTTTTATGGGCTGAATAATACTGCATTGTGTATACACACCACATTTTGCTTATCAACTGCCATTTATCAATAAGACACTTGGGGTCTCCCCCTTTTTGGGCTATTGTAAATACTGTTGCTATGAACATTGGCATACAAGTATCGCTTTGAGACCCTACTTTCAATTCTTTGGGTATACATCCAGAAGTAGAATTATTGGATCATACGGCAATTGTATTTTTAATTTTTTGAGGCGCTCCCATACTGTTTCCCACAGTCGGTGCAACATGGTATGTTCCCACCAACAGTGCACAGGGTTCCACTTTCTCCACATCCTCATCAACACTGTTTATTTTCTACTTTTGCTTTTTAATTTGGTTTTATTTATTTATTTAATTTATCTGGAAGGCAGAGAGACAGAGAGCAATCTCCCATCTGCTGGTTTACCTCAAAAGTGCCTATAAAAGCTGATGCTGAGCCAGGCCACAGCCAGAAGTCAGGAATTTAATCTGGGTTTCCCACATGGGTAGCAGTACTTGAGCCATCACCTGCTGCCTCCTAGAATGTGCGTTAGCAGGCAGCTGACATGAGGAGAGGGGCAGGGATTTGATTCAGGCACTCTGAGATGGGATGCAGGCATCGCCAAGCAGCATCTTAACCACTACGCAAACACTCACCGTGGGCTGTTCTCCTAAGGGATCTGAGGAAGTAACTCACTGTGGTTTTGAAGTGCATTTTCCTAATGATTAGTAATGCTGAACATCTTTTCATGCGCTTATTGGCTGTTGGGACAGCGCTGGAGAAATGTCTATTGAAGTCCTTTGCCCATTTTTAAAACAGGTGCTTTTGTTGTTGCGTTGTAGGATCTCACTAGGTATTCTGGATATCAATTATTTACCAGATTTATGATTTACAAATATTTTCTCCCATTCCAAGGTTTGCATTTCTCACAGTTAATCTTGTCCTTTGATAACTACTTAACTTTTTTCTCACCTACAATCTGGGTACTGCAGCAGCTCTATCAGGATGACTGGAAGATAACACATAAAACACAATGCCTGGAACAAATCTCCTCTCTCTGAGGAGAAAGTCTCTTTTATCCTTGCGGGAGCAGAATGGAGAGGAGCAACCAGTAAAGATTCCACTGGGGCAGAGTTTGAGGACGGATTTGCCATTTCCTAAAGAGAAATTTCACTCTCTCTCAGCCTTCATTTCCTTTCCTGCGACTGTAGGTGCAATCACAAATGGTCGTAGTAAGGACTGAAAGCACCAAGTGCTGAGAAAATAACTCCTCTATCCATCTATCCATGCACTCAACAAATGTCCGTTGAGCACTTTCCATGTGCCAAATACAATTTAATTGCTGGGGAAACACACAAGAATCCCAACGCTTAGGACCTTATGTTCTGTTGGAGGAACGAAAACAGGTAAGACCCAAAACAAATGAAGTATGCAATCTGTAGAAAGTGTGGTGGAGAAAAACTGCCGGGAAAGGGAAGGATGACAGGGTGGGTGAGTGGTCTGAGAAGTCCCTTCTAAGAAGGCGGATGGAAAAGGCCTGAAGAGAGCAGGGAGCGAGCCCAGCAGTCGCTTAGGCAGAGGGCTTTGTAGTAGGAAAAGCAGGGAGGGCAAAGATCCTGAGGAGAGCATGTGCAAGGAGGGCAGGGATAAAAGTCAGGGAGGCAGCAGGAACCAGAATGGCTTTCCTCCAACTGAACTGGAAAGCACGCTGACAGATAACGGAATTCTTGACATCTCTCAGCCCTAGCCACAAATAGAGCTATAATGGTAGTGATGGGGATATATTTGCTCATGCTGTTCCCTGTCGGAAAATTAAACAACTACCTTTTGAAAAATTCAATCAACTAAAACACTTTTGCTTTTGGATGAAATTGTACTGCTGGTGATGATATATTTAAAATTTTGGACTAGCACACTGTTCGCAAGGATGGCAAAGCTATAATTCAGAAGTCTATGAATTCAGTTATTTAACATGACTTGAGACACACAGGAAGTTCAAGGCTAGTGGAGGAAGGAAAATGCAAGTACAAAAAATGACTAATGATAGACAACTGCACTGGGTGTTTAACGGCCTCAGAAAATGAGGGATGTTGAACTGAGCCTTCAGGAGAGTGCTGGGTGGGTGACAGAGGGAGGTAGGTCCCTTGGCAGAATGGACACTGCACCAGGTAGGTGTTGCAGCAAGTGTGTTACATGGCTACTTGGGATGATCATATTCCATACTGGAGGGCCTGGGATTGAGTTCTGCCTCCACTTAAGATCCAGCTTCCTGCTAGTGTGCTGGGGAAGCAGTGGATGATGGATGGTTCAAGTACTCTGTTCCTTGCCACCCACGTGGGAGACCCGGATGGAGTGGGTGGCTCCTCACTTTGGCTTAGCCCAACTCTGGGTATTGTTGGTATTTGGGGTGGGGTGAACCAGCAAATAAAAGATCTCTCTGTCTCTCACTCTGCCTTTCAACTCAATGGAAATAAAGGAATTAATTTCGAAAAGAAAAAAGAAAAAGGACATTGCACTCAGGGAAAACAGCTGAAGAAAGGCCAGGCTGTTGAAACAAGATGGCAAGGGGTACGTGGTTTGGTAGAGAAGGGATGATGTTATAGCTAAAATCAGCGTTGGCCTGATCATGGGTGAGACGGTGCAGACTATGGTAAAAATGTTCTTTACCGGCCGGCGCCGCGGCTCACTAGGCTAATCCTCTGCCTTGCAGCGCCGGCACACCGGGTTCTAGTCCCGGTTGCCCCTCTTCCAGGCCAGCTCTCTGCTGTGGCCAGGGAGTGCAGTGGAGGATGGCCCAGGTGCTTGGGCCCTGCACCCCATGGGAGACCAGGAGAAGTACCTGGCTCCTGCCATTGGATCAGCGTGGTGCGCCGGCCGCGGCGGCCATTGGAGGGTGAACCAACGGCAAAGGAAGACCTTTCTCTCTGTCTCTCTCTCACTGTCCACTCTGCCTCTCAAAAAAAAAAAAAAAAAAAAAATGTTCTTTACCGAAGGGAAAAGGAGACTCTCGGTACAGTTTCAAGGATGACAGCAGCACAATTACAGTGTTATTTTCGAGACAAACTTTGACAGCAGCGTGAGGATGGACTGGACAGGTGAAAGGAGCAGGAGGTAGAAGAAATGACAGTTCAGACATGAGAGAAGGGTCTGATCAAAGGCAGTGGAAAAAAGGACAAAATGAAGGGTGCAGAACAGATCTGAAGGTGACACAAGGCAGGAGCACAGTAAATAAATTGGAGACACAGAATTATTTCCTGGTTTCTGGTGACCATTTGTGCAAGGGTAAGTTCCTAAAGTTCCTTTGGTGGGGGGAGTGCATGTTGAATTTTTGATGCAAGTTTAAGACCTCTGTGAAATTCAAATAAGGTTGGCAGTCAAATAAATGCATCTGGAAATTACGAAAAGAGTTTTGTGCTGGAGATTTGACTTTGAGAGTATCAATTCTGGAAGTGCTGAGATTGTCTAGAACAACGCTGAGGACGAGAAAAGTAACACGACTGGGACAGAATCCCGAGGAATATCAAATTTTCACTAATGAAAAAGAACAGACCTTTTTACTACTGTTCAGCTTAGTGCCTGGCAAAAACTGGCGGCTCACTAAATATTTGTGAGTTGGCAGATGGATGGATGAAGGGAGTGAGGAAGAAGTACTTGTCACAGAAATGGAGAGCCTGAAAACAGGAGATTTTGGAAGAGAAGAAAGTTTCAAGAAGGCGTGGAAGAAACCGTGGAATGCCCTCACGATCAAAATAAAAACTAAGGAGAAATCTCATGATTTTGTAATTAATGATTTTGTAATTACAGAACCTAAGCATGCCGGAGTCCTGGCAAACAGAAGTTCTCGCCTAAACTGAGACTTAAAGGATAATCATTTTCAGCCAAGAGGAGACTACGCGCTAACTGCGTCAAGGACATCATCATAGCCCTACAAAACCTTGTTAATTAACAACAAGACCCCCAGAAAACTTCCGCCAGCCCCACCGCTTCCCTGGCGGCGCACGCCGGCCCCGGAACTACGAAGCCCAGCAGGACCCGCGCCCGACCACCAGCGACTTCTAGGTTAAGCCGGGCGCGAGGCCTTGTGGGAACAGTAGTTCACGGCGCCGACCTTAGCGCCTCGCTTTGCACGCGTCCCACCAACTGCTTACTTGAGCTCTTCAGCCGAATACATCCCGAAGGAAATGCCCTGTAGCCGGCGCCAGGGCACGTTCTTGGAGCCTAACATCTTCTAGGTCTACTGTGAGTTCCAGCACCAAGAGATTCCAGTCACCCCTGGAGAACACCTATGAGCCCTAACCCAGGAGCCACCATGTGATTCCAAGTGGGCTTGCGCGCCGGAAGCGCTCGCTAGAATATTTATATGGACGAGACCACTTTCGTTGTGGGGGTCGGAGAATAATTCACGGCTCTCATGTTTTCTAAGAACAGAGCTCTATAAGACATTAAAGTAATGGCTTCAGAAAAGCTTTTCGAGGCCACTGGGCGTATTGAGCTTTTTACTTCCTTGATAAAGGAAACCGTGAGGGTGCAACCTCCCATTTCAAGATAGTTTTCGCCTCGGCCAATAGGCGAGCTGTTCCCGCCCACCTCCCTCCCGCGATCTCGAAGGGCGACGGCTTTCCCGACACGCTCCGCGAGGACGCCAAAGATGGCGGCGGTGGCGGCGTCTGCTCGCTTGCTGGGAGTCCGCAGCAGGCTCGGCCTACCGCTGAGCGGTCGGCGGGTAGCGCTGTGTGAAAAGGCACCTGGTTGCAGGTAAGTCAAGCTTGAGGGCCGACGTAAGAGTCCTCTCAGTCTTGTTTCTCGAGAGCTGTGGAACTAGGGACGATGGAGGGGTCGGCACGTGCGGGCTGACACAGCCGCGTGAGCCGCAGGCCCGGCACGTGGAGCCGGGCCCTGAAACACTCGCGGAGTTCGGACCGCCTTGTTCGATAAGGGGGTATATGTTGGTTGTTGGCAGTACCCTGTCCGCAAACCTAGGCCTCTGCTCTCGTGACGCTTACATTCCAGTGAGTGCGGCGTTAGCGGTTCCACGCACCACCAACACCCGCCCCGAAAAAAAAATCGGCCCTTACTTGTTTTACCCCAAACAGCATGGACAGGGAGAACTCATGAGACCTTCCCAAATAACAGGTAGTCTTGTCTTCGCTAGAGATATTGTCAGGTTTCATAAAAGAGAAATGTCGAAATCTGCCTCCATGCCCTTTGGATCTGTGGCCGTTACAGATTGGAAAATATAACACCTGTTATTACATTTTTTTTCCACGTAGTAGAAACAGTGGTATTGTGGAAACAGACAATAACACAGTAAGAAGCGTGAGAAAAACTTAATTTTAGATTGATTGCTACGCTGCGTTAGATGATAGACGAATTTTTCCAACTAGACTGAGGCTAGTGATAACTTTCAGAAGCATTGCCAGGAGCAAGTGAGTTGTGTATCTTACACTAGGAATTTGATTTCTACTCTTCTCAGGCTGCTTCGGAAGAGACAGCAGCCTGCCTTGTATTTCAGAAGCCTACAGCGGCCCTTCCTCTTCGCTGTAGTGCCCAACTTTTACAGTTTTCTTTGCCTGTCAGTCACGTGTCTTCCGCAAAATTCTTCGAGAAGGCCAATCTCTGTCCCAGTTCCATGAGTTACAAGTAGCATGATTTGAGAGTCAATTACTTTTTTTTTTTATTTAGCAGAGTTAGGGAGAGAGACAGAGAAAGGTCTTCCCTCCGATGGTTCATCCCCCCATATGGCCGCTACTGCCCGAGCTAAGCCTAACCGAAGCCAGGAGCCAAGTGCTTCCTCCTGGTCTCCCATGCCGGTGCAGGGGCCCATCCGCCACTGCACTCCCGGGCCACAGCAGAGAGCTGCACTGGAAGAGGAGCAACCAGGACTAGAACCGGCACCGCAGGCAGATGATTAGCTGGACCCGAGAGTCAATTACTTTTGCAAATATTTAGCAGAGAGAAAAATTCTTGTTATAAAATTATTTTTGAAACCAGATAGTGATGGAGGAGCTGTTTTCCTTTGTAATCACATCTTAATACTTTATTCTATTAATACCAGTTAGGGAGGGAATAGAATATAATACTCAAGGTATTATTGAATACATTCCCTGTTTGGCATATTGACTAATTTTAATAAAATCAGAGCATTTAAAAATGGTGGGCTAATGACGCTATATTTTAGGTAAAGGATAATTTCATACTTGGGTCTCTAAAATACTAAAAATTACAATTCCAAGCCTAAATTAGGTCTGATATATTTGGCACATTCCTGGTTGTTGAAGGAAGTAGAGTGAAAGGCTCGTGCTTTAAGCAAGGGAGGGGCCCTTATAAAAGGTGCTGTTCATTGAAAGCAAATTGTTCCTCTTAAACGTGTTTTAGGGTCCAAAGTTAAAACTCCCTTCTATTTGAAACCAGCTACTTAGATTGTTCAAGTGCTGGTAAACATTTCATTTTCCTCCTGATTTTGTGTAATGAGGTTACCTGCTTTATTTATTTATTTTTTAAGATTTATTTACCTAAAAGGCAGAATGAGAAGGAGAGAAAGAGATATCACTACCCAAATGGCTACAAAGGCCAAGCTGAAGTCAGGAGCCAGGAGCTTCTTCCTGGTCTCCCACGTGGGTGTAGGAGTCCAAGGAATTGGGCCAACCTCTGCTGCTTTCCTAGGTACATTAGCAGGTAGCTGGATAGAAAGTAGAGCAGCTGGAAAGTTGAACCAGGTCCCATATGGGATGTAGGCAGAGGCTTAACCTGCTGTATCAGAGTGCTGGATCCAGCCTACTTTAATTCGTATCTTGTGTCCATATTCTGTATCCATTCTGTAATGGTATTGACATACTGTTTAGGTTGTGTCTTCTCGGTATTCACTGACATGAGTTATCCAGTCAGTTTGATTCATGATAATTGGAGATTTGGAACTCAAGATGCAGAGGTGGCGGTGATGATTATTAGCTTTAGGGCTTTTAGCTTAGTTTTCTATTTTTATTTTTTGCAGATTTTACTCTGGAAGTGCAACTCTTTCAAAGATTGAAGAAACTGATACAACAGGTATATTAAAAATGCATTGGAATAATTTCATTTTTATATTACATTTTATTCTGTTGTAGTTGTAGTATTAGAAAATTGATAGATTCTATTTTTGAAATTTAGGGATTGAAGAAGTGGTCATTCCCAAAAAGAAAATTTGGTGAGTATTCCGTAGTCACTGTTTGTTCTCCACGTGGTTGAGTGCTTACAATGAGGGAAACAAACAGGAAGGCCAGGTGAGATGTTAGTAACATTAGAGCAACAGGAGAGTGTGCTTGAAGGGGGAACAGCTGGGGAGGTGGAGAGCACTGAGTGAGTGAGGACTAAGACTTTTTTAAGTTTTATTTATTTGAAAAGCAGAATGATGGGGATCTTTATCTTCTGTCTGCTTGTTCACCTCCCCAAGTACCTGCAAAAGCCCAGGCCAGGCCATGCAAAAACCAGAAGCCAGGAATTCTGTCTGGTCTTCCACGTGGAGCCATCATCTGTCGCTCCCCCTCTTCGTGGAGGAACGACACAGGACCCTGCGCTGTTCTTTTGTCTGCTCGGCCCTCCCCGGGTTTGCTGCTGGTTCTTCCCGGGTTGGCTACCGTCCCTTCCACCTCCGTGGAAGGGCGGTTCCCCCTGCCACTTTCCCCACTTCCGTGGGGGAGCGGCACACCGCCGGCCGGCTCTCTCGGGGGCTGCACAGGTGTTCCTTCATTCAGATAGATGTTCCTCTTAGATGTTCCCGGTGCATGTTGTCTCTCTCCTCCTTTATAGTCCTCTTCCACCAATCCCAACTCTGCTACCCACACGCCGAGTACGCTGCTCTCCTCCAATCAGGAGCAGCTCCTGCAGCTTGTCAAGTTCGTGAGAGGCAGCTGTGTAGAAGCTGTTTACTCCTCTCCCAGCGCCATATTGTGGGAGAGCAGATGCATAGAATAAGTCTTAATTCCAGTAACTTCGTCTAGTCCGAGTTGCTCCCCACAATCATCCACTGCTTCCCTGGCACATTAGCAGGAAGCTGGGTTAGAGGTACAAAGTAGCTGGACTCATACCAGGCACTCCAGTATGGAATGTGGGCGACCCAGGCAGCTTAGCCTACAGTGGCACAATACCCACCCAAGTTCCCCATATGTGCTACAGAGACCACACAAAATTAGTATGTTTATAATCTCTAGCAAGGTTCAAATAAATACGAAATTTAGCTTTTTTATTCACTAGGTAGATCCTTGAGCTAACTTTCTTATCTCATTTATTCAGCACTGACTGCAAGAATTAAAACATCACAGAAATGCTTGTACTATGACATTTAATCCATTTAAAGACCCCTAAAAAAGCCACACATTAGAATTTTGAGTGTGACCTGAAGACTTCGACTGACTTGTGAAAGAAAGGCTTTCTTAAGGTACAAAAGTAATAAATAGTTAATGCCGCCAAAATAGGGATGGGATAAATGTAATATGCAGAAAGGAAGCAAAACTACAGACAGTCTAACTGCTGGCAGGTAGGTTCTTAACCCGTCTGTGCCGTGGTAACATGCAGTAAAGGATAGCCCGTGCCTTAAAGAATTAAATGGCATGTTGAATGTTACGTTTCATATATTCTGATTTTAGTAGTCGATAGATATTAAATTTGGGCTTGTAATCATGCTTATTTTGCATATGAGCTATTTATATGCCTATAGTTTAGAATTGATTTGCTTCTGTATAAACTGTTGATATGTGTGTAGGTTAGAACTGCTTATACTCTGTTTTTAATGACTACAAGTACTTCATTATACAAATATATTCAGATTCATTTCTCTCTTCCCTGAGAGTCAGAACCAAGATAAAAGGAGAAATATGGGCATCTAAGAATTAGGCATTTCTCTGATGGTATTCATGTCCAAGGTCCTTTACCAACCCATCGCACCTCTATCCCTGAAGAAGATACTACAGGGAATACAAGAGAGGATGCTTAGGAGGATGTGCTACAGTCTGGTTAAGTTGTATGTGTAATTTGTGCTTAACATTCATCACATGTATGTGACCTTACACATACAACTAGCGAGAACACAATATGGTGTAATCAACAGTGGCTGTAATGCACTAATCAAGGCAATTTTTGTTGAAAGCATAAAAATTTAGGTATACCTTAAGTGGGTAGGATTATCTTCTTAGCATTGGAATCACCTTTTGAATTTTGTTTAAAAGGCATATTCCTGGGACCAGTGTTATGGCACAGCAGGTGAAGCCACCACTGGCAATGCTAGTATCCCATATGGGTGCCAGTTCATGTCCTGGCTGCTCCACTTCTGATCCACCTCCCTGACTAATGGCCTGGGAAGGACAGTGGTGGGTGGCCCAAGTGTTTGGGCCCCTGCAACCATCGGGGTGGAAGACCCAGATGAAGTTTCTGCCTGGCCCAGCATTGGCCATTGCAGCCATCTGGAGAGTGAAGCAGAGGATATGAAGTCTCTCCCTCTGTCTGTGTAACAATGACTTTTAAAATAAATTTGTTTGGGTAAAGATTGATTGATTGATTGATTGATTTGAAAGCCAGAGTCACAGAGAGAGGGGAAAGACAGGGAGACCTTCCATCTGCTGGGTCACTTCCCAAATGGCCACAGTGCCCAAGGCTGGGCCAATCCGAAGCCAGGAGCGTCTTCTTGGTCTCCCACAGAGGTGCAAGGGCCCAAGTATTTGGGCCATCTTCTGTTATTTTCCCAGGTACATTATTAGCAAGGAGCTGAATTGGAAGTGGAGCAGTGGGCTCAAAGCAGTGCCCATATGTGATGCCAACACTGCAGGCAAAGGCTTAACCTTTTTATTAAGATTCATTTTATTTGAAAGACAGCTACAGATGGGCTGGCGCTGTGGTGCAGCATGTTAAAGCTCCGCCCTGAAGCACTGGAATCCCAAATGGGCGCTGGTTCTAGTCCTGGCTGCCCCTCTTCCCATCCAGCTCTCTGTTGTGGCCTGGGAAAGCAGTAGAAGATGGCTGAAGTCCTTGGGCACCTGAACCCACGTGGGAGACCCAGAAGATTCTCCTGGCTCCTGGTTACGGATCGGTGCAGCTCCAGCCATTGCAGCCATCTGGGGAGTGAACCAGCAGATGGAAGACCTCTCTCTGTCTCTAGCTCTCTCTCTAACTCTGTCTTTCAAATAAATAAAATAAATCTTAAAAAAAAGCTACAGAGAGAGGTAGAGAAAGGTCTTCCATCTGCTGGTTCACTCTCCCAAATGGCCACAACAACCAGAGCTAAGCTGGTCTGGAACCAGGAGCTTCTCCTAGGTCTCACATGTGGGTGCAGGGGCCCTAGGCCCATCCTCCACTGCTTTCCCAGACACATCCCATGTGGGATGCAGACGCTGCAGACTAGGGCATTAACCCGCTGCACCATAGCAGTGGTCCTGGAAGGTTTCTATGCCATGGTGCTGGTCCTAAAATAAATTTACAAATAAATGAAAAGGAAGGGCCAGCTCTATGTCCTTTTTTTTGTGTGTGTGTGTGTGTGTTATTTATTTGAAAGAATTAAGGTGAGAAAGAGAGATCTTCCACATGCTGGTTCATTCCCCAAATGGCCACAATGGCCAGGGCTGGGCCAGGCTGAAGCCAGGAGCCAGAACTTCATCTGGATCTTCTGTGTGGGTGCAAGGGCCCAAGCCCTTGTACCATTTTCCACTGCTTTCTCAGGCACATCAGCATAGAGTTGGATTGGAAGTAGAGCAGCCAGGAATTGAACTGGTGCCCATATAGGCAGCTTAACCTGCTGTACCACAATGTAGACCCCTTCTTGTTTTTCTGATGTTTTATTTGTGGCTGCAATGGCTAGGTCTGGGCCAGGCTGCCTCATCTGGTTCCCACGTGGATCCAGGGGTCAAAATACTTGGGCTATCTTCAACTGCTTTCCCAGGCATATTAGCAAGGACCTGGATCAGAAGTGGAGTAGCCAGAACTTGAACCACAGCACTCATGGGATGCTGGCATTGCAGGTGGCAGCTTAACCTGCTATGGCACAACACCATATATTCTGATATATTCTTATAAATGTTTTGCTGAACTTTGTTTAGAAAAAAAATGCTTTGGGTTTAATCTCTGTAATTCCCTTTGGGAAATGAGGCACATTAAATCTAACAAGGTTAAAAGTGCATCTGAGGGGCAGGTGCTTTGGCGTAGCAGGTAAGCTGCTGCCTGCAGTACCGGCGTGCCATATGGGTGCCAATTTGAATCCCGGCTGCTCCACTTCCCATCCAGCTCTCTGCTACAGCCTGGGAAAGCAGTAGATGACGACCCAAGTCCTTGAGCCCCTGCACCTGGGTGGGAGACCCAGAGAAGCTCCTGGCTTCAGATGAGTGCAGTTGCATCCATCTGGGGAGTGAATTAGTGGATGGAAAACACCTCTCTCTGCATCTCTCTAACTTTGCCTTTCAAATTGAATTAATAAATCTTAAAAAAAAATCTGAAACCAAATTATCTTTTCATTTACTGCAGTGAAACCTTTTCTGATAGTTCATTGAAGGTCTGTATTCCAAAGGCAAAGTGGGCAGGTAACCTGTAGCTGTTTTCATTGGGTTGTGTATGGTTTAGAGACTTGTAAGTTGGGAGAGGAGGGGAGTATGCATCACAGCCATCTGGAATTTCAGTAGGATGCATGTGCCAGGCTGATGTGTCTTGGACACTCCGATGCAGTAGGTCTAGAGTGGAGCTTGTGATTTAGTCTCATGTGTAATTGAAGTAGGAGCCACCCATTGGGGCCCCGCATGGTGGTACAGTGGTTTAAGCTTCTTCAGATGTTTGCTTTCCATACTGGAATGCAAGCTTAATCCTGACTATTTTCTTTCTGATCCAACTTCCTACTAAGCATCCTGGGAGGCAGCAGGACCTAGGCTCAGGTTCTGGGGTCCCTGCCACACACATAAGAGCCCCAAGTGGAGGTGGAGGTGTGGGGAGCAACTGGGACTAGACGAAGTTACTGGAATTAAGACATTCTATGCATCTGCTCTCCCACAATATGGCGCTGGGAGAGGAGTAAACAGCTTCTACACAGCTGCCTCCAGTTCAACCAATAAACAGCAGGACCTGCTGCTGATTGGAGGAGAGCAGCGTACTCGGCATGTGGGTACAGAGTTGGGATTGGTGGAAGAGGAATATAAAGGAGGAGAGAGACAACATGCACCGGGAACATCTAAGAGGAACATCTATCTGAATGAAGGAACACCTGTGCAGCCCCCGAGAGAGCCGGCCGGCGGTGTGCCGCTCCCCCACGGAAGTGGGGAAAGTGGCAGGGGGAACCGCCCTTCCACGGAGGTGGAAGGGACGGTAGCCAACCCGGGAAGAACCAGCAGCAAACCCGGGGAGGGCCGAGCAGACAAAAGAACAGCGCAGGGTCCTGTGTCGTTCCTCCATGAAGAGGGGGAGTGACAGTAGGCTCCGGGCTTTGTGCTGGTGCAGCCGTGGCTGCTTTGGCATTTGGTGAGTGAACCACCAGATAGAAGATCCCTCCCTCTGCCCTTCAGGTAAATAAATGATTATATTTAAAAAACCAGCTCTGAGTCACTCCCTCACTAGCTTTAAAAAAAGATAGAGCGCCATTAATTTAGTTAGTAAAGGCAAGAGTGGTCCATAAGGGTGGGGAGAAAATGCGTAGAAAGTGAATGGGAGGAAGTAAGCAATGTAGTTTATGAAGTGAGGGTAGAGATCACTAACCCTGGGTGATGATACTGGGGATCAGGCAGAGAGGACAAGCAAAGCAAAGCGAGGAGCATGTATTACCTGCCTTCAGACAAACAACTAGACTGTTTGCTTATCTTCCAATTTGTTCTCCAATGATCAGGAGAAAAAGCAGCTCTAGGTGAGACCTCTTAACGGCGCTGTTGGCCAGTCTCCGAGCAGACACTGTTCATTCTTGATATGAAGCGCGCAGAGAAGCGCTCACTTGTGTTTCTTACTCCTAGGGATAAAGTGGCTGTTCTTCAGGCGCTTGCATCCACGGTAAACAGGGTAAGTATGGTTTTTAGCTTTTTAAATTGCCCAGTAATAAGACATCTAATGCTCCTACCTCTTCACTGTTTAGAATAAACTGTTGTGGGTCTAGCAAGTTTTTTGAAGTCATCTAATCCAGTCCTGTCATTTGACAAGTGAGGAAACCAGGGCTTTTAAAATGACATGGGGCTGTTGAGGATACTGTTCTAGTGATGTTTCATCAGCAAGAGTTTGGGGTACCTGTGGCAAGTGATCTCCACACAGCTTTGAAAGACTGTGCCTGCACACTGGCCATACAGAGAAGGTAGATCCTGTAGCCCAGAGCTGTAATAGCCTAACAGTAGGCTTTACAACTTTATCTCTTGACACTTCTCTGTTTCCTGATCTGTGAAGTGGTTGTGGTGAGAATTAAATGAGTGAAATATAGATCAAAGGGTTTAGGGCAGTATGATAGCTGCTACAACTATCTTAGATTTAATGTGTCAGTAATTTGCTCTTTGACAATTCAAGAATAAAGTTTGCAGTCAGAAACTGGTAAGGGCCGGTGCCGCGGCTCATTAGGCTAATCCTCTGCCTTGCGATGCCGGCACCCCGGGTTCTAGTCCCGGTCGCGGTGCCAGATTCTGTCCTGGTTGCCCCTCTTCCAGGCCAGTTCTCTGCTGTGGCCAGGGAGTGCAGTGGAGGATGGCCCAAGTCCTTGGGCCCTGCATCTACATGGGAGACCAGGAAAAGCACCTGGCTCCAGCCATCAGATCAGCGCGTTGCGCCGGCCGCGGCGGCCATTGGAGGGTGAACCAACGGCAAAGGAAGACCTTTCTCTGTCTGTCTCACTGTCCATTCATTCTGCCTGTCCAAAAAAAAAAAAGGGAAAAGAAACTGATAAGTAAATGTATCAGATATGGAACTTCTTTTTGATTGATTGTGTTTTTCATTAGTTAGAAACTACTAATTTTAACTCTAGGGGAAAATGTCTCTGAAATCTTTTTTCCTGCCAAATATCTCCAAATACTGACTGTCAAATTATCACAAATACATTGAATTGTTCTTGTATTGTAGATGTTGAAATTAGGGGTTACTGGGCCAAATATACACTGAAGCATACCCTACTGATTTCTGAGAAAGGGCTTTTTAAAAATTGGGGGGGGGGGGGTAGGGCAGACACCACATTCATCCATAGATTCACTCCCCAAATGTGTACAATGGCCAGGGTTGAACTAAGCAGCCTGGATCCAGGAACACTGTTCATGTCTCTCATGAGGGTAACAGGAACCAAGTACTTGAGCCATCACCACTGACTCCCAGGTTCTGCATTGAAGGGAAGCTAGAGTCAGGAACAGGCGGGGAGTGGAGCATGAACAAACAACATGGGACACAGGCATCTTATACATAGATACCTGAAATGTAAGAGAAACAGGCCTCTGGCGTTGTCTCAGAGTTTAATGAAAGCAGCGTAGGCCACCTTCAAGTTAAAGCTATAGAATTGTCTGGCTTATCTGATCTTGGCCTTTAAAATCCAAGAAAGTCACTCATTTATTCAGCCACCATGTTTGTGTGTGTATAGACACACACACACATATATTTGAGAATATGTTTATGATACCTACCAAGTGCATTTCTGAGTGTAGAATTCAGACACAATCCTTGCATAGTTCCAAGAGAGGAGGACTAGGAAGGACTTCGAAGAGTTAATGATTGGTTGGGGTAGAGCAGAAAATGAGGACAAAAAAGAATTTAAAAAGCTATCTGGTCCCCCAAAGAAAGTCCAGGCGAGTGAGATAAGGCATCAAGGGCACAATCAGAATAGACTTAGGAAATTTGGTGAGTTTTTACCATAAAACAAAGGTCCAGGTTGGAACAGAGAGGAACAGAGGAAATAATTTGGGAGCATTTCTAAGGGGTGGCCATTCGTGGAGCAGGAGAGTTGATTTTGCTTGGGAATTAATGAACTATTTGAAGGAAAACGGAACCTTGGACAGCAGGTCATAGGAGAAGCTGCTGCTGTTCACACCCCCTGGAGACCCTTTGGAGCAGACTTTTGGATAAAGTTGGGCATGGATGGATAATGACAGTGCTTTGAAGAAAATTCTGTTCCAAAAAGGTGGTGCTGGGCCTTGTTAATTTCCAGGATCCTTATCTAGAGCAGTATAGCAGTAGTACCCAGTGATGGTAGATGCAAATCCTAAGTAACAGCTATGGGGTTGGAGCCATTACTTGCTTTTGGTTTTGCAGTTACTGGCAACCCTTGCAGAGCTGAGAGTACAATATTGTATGTTCCGTGTGTATATATGTGTCTGAATAGATGAATACATAGGTGCATATTTTGCATGTATGTTATATATATAATTAAAACTTAATAGAATTTTTTGTTATCACCAAAACTTACAAAGTCATCATAATAAAAATCTAGCTGAGAATAGTTACTTGTCTTTTCCACAGGACCCTACAGCTGTCCCTTATTCATTTCAAGATGATCCTTACCTCATACCAACATCCTCTTTGGAAGGAGTGAGTAGTTTCATGTAACTTTTCTAAGTTTTTTTGTTTTTCTTTTGATCTTACTGGCTTGTGTCTAAGATTACATCTATAATTAAGTTACAAGAGCCTTTGAAGAGTTTATAAAAACTAATAGCTAAATTGGTAGGGTTTTTTTTTATTCCTTGATTAGATTGAGGTAATGTGGAAACTTTTTAGCTTTGTTTTCAATGCTTACGGGTTTTTCACGATGGAATGAACCACTCAGTTTAACTCTCAATAGGAAAGGTAGCTATGTGGTATAGTGTAATTTAATTGGGATTTCATGTATTGTTAACTTATTTGTGAGGGGAGAATAGTTCTGAGGGTATAACTTTGATCTCTTAATTACATATAAATAGCAGTTTGTATCAATTTTTTTATATAGCGTTCATTTTTATTGGCAAAGAAGTCTGGAGAAAGTGCAGCAAAATTTATTATTAATTCATATCCCAAGTATTTTCAGAAGGACATAGCTGAACCTCATATACCGGTAAGGAAAGTTGGCTTCTTACATAACATTAAATAAATGTAAGCTAAATCAAGCTTTCATAACTGTTGTTTAAGTAGTAATTTGATTGAAAAAGCCTTTTAATGTATGGAGTTACCTGTGCTCAAAATACCAACATTTTAAAATTCTTTTTTCTATGTATTTACCCTGAATCTTAATATCTTCTCCACTTGGCTTCTGGGACCCTCACTTGGGCCTGCTCCTTTGTAGTTTTCCTTCACCAGCTCCCTAGCCACTCCTTAAGCATTGCTGTCTTTCTTAGTCATTTTCTCTTTTATTACCCATGTCTTTCCTTCAGTAACCCTTATGTTCTGTTTGGCATTCTTGGAAATGCAGCCTAGAGCTCTCTACTTAAAACTACCTACTGTTTACCACTCTCTTCTGTGGTCATGCAGTGAATGTGTGATGAGCCTTGTGCTTAGTGCTGTTGGTTCACTGGAGACCCAGACACTGGCACCTCTGCCCTCCTGAGTGTATTCGTGGAAATACTATGTTCACGCTTGCCATCTATAAGCTGCACCTTTTACTTCACATCTTCCTGTTTCCCAAAACTCGACCCCTCCTGTTCTCATACCATAATCTAGTGACAGATTGGGAAAACAGTGCAGTTGTGTAGGTAAAAATATTCAAATCCTGGACTACGATAGTGGCAGTGATGGAATAAACACTTGTTATCCTGGCTTTTCTCTTTTACATTTTTATAATTTTTAAGTGAAATATATATGATTTTATTTAGTTGAAAGAGTTTGCTGGTTCACTTCCCAATTAGCCGCAATGGCCAGAGCTACACCAATCCGAAGCCAGGAGCTTCTTCCAGGTCTCCCACATGGGCTCAGGGGCTCAAGCACTTGGGCATTTTTTCCAGGCCACAGCAGAGAGCTGCATCAAAAGTGAAGCAACCGGGACTTGAACTGGCACTCATAAGGGGTGCCAGTATTGCAGGCGGTGGCCCCAAGGAAAGCAGGGTCTTCCATCTACTGTTTCACTTCCCAAATGGCTGCAATGGCCAGAGCCAGGCATTCAGGAGCCAGGAGCTTTTTCTGCGTCTCCCACATGGGTATAGGGACCCAAGCACTTGGGCTATCTTTCATTGCTTTCCCAGGCCATTAACAAGGAGCTGGATCAAAAGTGGAGCAGCCATGACTTGAAGTGGTACTTGTATAGAATGCTGGTGTCACAGGCAGAGGCCTAACCTATTAAGCCATAGCGCTAGCTTCTGTATTTTCAACTAAGAATTAGTGTTCTGTGTTGAGCTGCAGGCCTCTATTATTTGCAACCTTCCAAGGTCCTCTCCATGGTGGACAGCACCACTCACACTGTTTTGTAATGATTCCCTTAACTGCCTTCTGCATTATCATGAGCACTTTGAGGGTAGAGAATGTCATTCATCTCTGTCTCAGTTCCTACCTTAGTACTACTATTAAAAATGTGCTTGAAAAAATACTGACTGAGATACATACCTTCTTGGTATTGAATGTTTGGAGTAGAAGCAGCATCAGGAGAAGTTTCTGCCATGGAAAGTGGGAGCGCTCTGCCACCTTACACCAAGACTGGGAGTAAAGGAGGAAGAATGGTTTTATATTTGAGTGCTTTTAAAATTCCTACCAAGCTAGGAGATAGTGAAATAGGTTTTTTGTGTGTTTTTATTTACAGTTATGATTCCCTACAGAGATATTAATGTGAAAACAATAAATGAGATCTGGCTCTGGAAATACTAATTGGAGCAGTGAAGCTTTGTTTCACTGTTTTGATGATAAAAAGTTTGTCTTGGAGCCAGTGTTGTGGCACAGCAGGTTAGGCTGCTGTTTGCAGATACCAGCATCCCATACCAGAATACTGGTTCAAAATCCAGCCACTCTACTTCTGGTTTTCTGCTAATGTGCCAGAGAAAGCAGCAAAAGACATCCCATGTACTGGGCACCTACCATCCATGTGGGAGAACAGGTGGAGTTCCTGGCTCCTGGCTTTGATCTGGCCCAGACCTGGCTATTACAGCCATTTGGGAAGTGAACCAATCTCTAAAAGCTCTCTCTATCTCACTTTCTGTCACTTTGCCTTTCAAATAAATAAGCAAATTTTTTCTAAAAAATTAAAATTTTGTCCTTGGCTACCCTCCCATTTTACCTGTTTGTAGTAACTGCAGCCATCTTGTTTTCCTAGTGTTTAATGCCTGAGTATTTTGAACCTCAAATTGAAGATGTAAGTGAAGCTGCTCTTAAGGAAAGAATCAAGCTCAGAAAAGTCAAAGCTTCTGTGGACATGTTTGACCAACTCTTACAAGCAGGTGACCAAATTCAGTTAAAGCGCCTCTGGGAACATGAACTGTAAAGCAGATCTGTGATCCAGATAGTTTTGAGTAAAAATTGCCAGTACTACTGTCTCTGGTCTGCTTGATGGCTGTGCATTTTTTCTTTTTTATGTGAAAGTTAGAGTTTGAGATTTTCCATCTACTGTTTTATTCCCCAAATGCCTGCAATGCCTGAGCCTACAGAACTAATGCATTGTTATTAAAAGATCATTTACTGAACAAGTCTAAGTACAAACCCATACCACCAACAGGTAAAACCAGAAACAAGCCTCAGTGCTAAGAACTTCAGCACAGACCCACATTAGATGTTAATCATATGGGGCAACACACCAGGAAAAGGGTTGTAGAAAATCTGTCAAGCCCCTAATAAGTGTCTGATAGTCCTAGGTTTTTCACATATTTTATTCTATAAGACTTTTTTTTTTTTTTAGGATTTCATTTTATTTATTTGAGAGGGAAAGAGAGACAGAGCTTCCAATCCACTGGTTCACTCCCAGAAACAGTCACAGTGGTTGGAGCTGAGCCGATCCGAAGCCAGGAGCTAGGAGCTGCTTTTGGGTCTCCCACGTGGCGCAGGGGCCCAGGCACTTGGGCCATCTTCCACTGCTTTCCCAGGCTGTAGCAGAGAGCTGGATTGGAAGAGGAGCAGCCCGGACTCAGATGCCCGTATGGGATGCCGGCATTGGAGGCAGAGGCTTAGCCTGCTGCACCACAGCACCAGACCCTCTACAAGACATTTTGAGGTAGCAGGAACCCAAGTATTTGGCTGTCATCCACTGCCTTGCCAGGCGCATTAGCAGGAAGCTAGTTGGCAGCAGAGTAGCCTGGACTTGAACTAGCACATGAATATGGCATGTTGATGTTGCAAACTTCAGCTTAAACCATTGTCAGTTGTCTTAAAGATATATTGGCTATTTGTCTCTATGATGAACTACCTTAAACTCACCCAAGGGCAGTGCCCCTAGCAGGAACTAGGGACTTAATACTAGACCCTACCTCTTAAAGGTTCTGCCACCTTCCACTAACATGACTCTAGGGAAGACACTTAAAACCATATCCAAACCATAGCAAAAGGAAACTGTTCAGTCATTTTTCCAGATACTACATATATGCCCTCTGTACTCTGCCATGCTTTCATTTCTAGGCATTTAAATTTCCTGATGGGCATTTTTTTTTTTTTTTGAAAGATGAAATTACTTTTTTAATAGTAAGTTGCAGAGCTGGTGCTGTAATGTAGCAAGTTAAATTCTTTTGATGCTGATGTTCCATACTGGGGTGCTGATTCCAGTCCTGACAGTTCTCTTCCAATCCACCTCCCTCCTAATGTGCCTGGGAAAACAGTGGAGTATGGCCCAGGTACATTGGCCTCTACCATGTACATGGGAGACCATGATGGAATTCGAGATTATTCACAGTCTAGACCTGGCTGTTGGGACCTTTTGGGGAGCGATCCAGTGGATGGAAGATTCTCTCACACAAACACACACACCGCTGTTCTGCCTTTCAAATGAGTAAACAAACCTTAGATAAATAATAACTTGTGTCTCATTATTCTACTTCCTGTGTGCTAGTTGCCATTGTTAATGAGTAACTTGATATGAGCACAATGCTTTGAACTATAGGCAGTTGCTCTAGTGTTTTTAGGCAGTTTCAGTGAGGGATTGGACCAATGTGGAATGATCACACTTACGTTTGTTCACATGGATCGGAGTCAGAAGGACTAAGTGGAAGGGTTTGAAGATACTTTGGGGGACCTAGCATTGTGGCATAGCCGCCATCTGCAGAACCGGCATCCATATTATGGGTGTCAGTTTGAGTCTCGGCTGTTCCACTTCTGACCTTGCTCCCTACTAATGCATGTGGAAAAGCAGTGGAAGATGACATGTTTGGGCCCCTGCACCCATGTGGGAGCCCCAGAAGAAGCTCCTAGCTTTGGTCTGGCCCAACCTTGGCTGTTGAAGCCAACTGGGGAATGAACCAGCAGATGGAATATCTGTGTTTCTGTGTGTGTGTGTGTGTGTGTGTGTGTGTGTGTTTCTGTCTGTAACTCTACCTTTCAAATAAATATATCTTGAAAAGAAAAAAAAGCAGAAGATACATTTTGGAGGTGAGTTAAAACCATGAGGTAAGGACAGGTTTTAAAAGTCACTACTTGAGGCACCGGTGTCGTGGCACAGTAGGTTAATCCTCCGCCTGCGGCATCAGCATCCCATATTAGCACCAGTTCAGGTCTTGGCTGCCACTCTCCCAATCCAGCTCTTGCTGTGCCTGGGAAAGCAGTGGAGGATGGCACAGTTGCTTGGGCCCCTGTACCCGCATTGGAAACCGGGAAGAAGGGCCTGGCTCCTGCCTTCAGATTGGCACAGCTCCAGCCGTTGCGGCCATATGGGGAGTGAACCAGCAGAGAGAGGACCTTTCTCTGTCTCGCCATCTCACTATAACTCTACCTTTCAAATAAATAAATAAAAATCTTTAAAAAAAAAAAAAGGTCACTTCTTGATTCACCTGCATCTTAGATTGGGGTCATGGGGCTTATGTTCCAGCTGCACTTCTAATCCAGCTTCTTGCTAATGGTACTCTAGGAGGTAGAAAGTAGGTGGTGGCTCACATAGTGGGGTCCCTTCCACCCATGTGGGAGCCCCGGATTGTATTCCAGGTTCCTGGTTTTGGCATGGCTCAGTACAGCCTGTTAGAGGCATTTGCAGAGTGAACCAGCAGATGGAGGCAGTTATTTGATCTGTCTGCCTTTCGGAGAAATAAATAAAACTCTTAAAAAGAACACCAAACAGCATGAGATGACATCTTGTACCTGTCAAACCACACGGGTAGTATGCATTTTGTCTCTTTCTGCATCATTTGCACATCTTAGTTCCTGTTGAGTGTGTTTTTAGCAGTTGATAAAGTGGTGGATGATGACATGTAGCTGAGAAAGCTATAGCTAGTAGGAAAAATAAGGAATTAGAACCTAACAAGTTTTTTATTTTGGTTGTTTGAAACTGTTTTTGTTGTTTTTCTATATCCACAGGAACCACTGTGTCTCTTGAAACAACTAATAGTCTTTTGGATTTATTATGTTATTATGGTGACCAAGAACCCTCAGTTGATTTTCATTTTCAACAAAGAGAACAGTCAGAAGAATTGGTAATAACTTGTGTCAACATTTGTTTTGGAATTAATACGTTTTCAAAATAGGATAAGTTCTTGTACCACGTGTCAGAGTAGTCATAAGAGATTTGTACTGAAAGGTAGTGTGGTGCAGTAGCCTTGATAAAAATTGAGGCAGGAGGCCAAGGGGAAGTGTTGCAAGAGGAATACTTTAAGTAAATATTTTAGCACTGGTTCCCTTCTTAGAAATATTTTGTCTTCATCAGCCACCTGTTTAGGTAAAACTGAGCAGAAGTGTTAGTGTCTGTACTCCATGCCACTTAACAGTGACACTGTGATGTGTAATGGCTAAGGAGATTCGATAGCCTTAGCTGCCTCAGAACTTCATGTATGTGTGGACAGGTGGGAGCACAGCAGGCTGGAAGATTTAGAACAGTTTTGTGCCTACAGCTGTGTATAGATTGAGTTGTGTCCTGTCTCTCAACTCAACACTTACAGATAATAGGATCTTTTTGGTTAAGTAAAGATAAGTCATAAATGTGGCACAGGCTAGAAGACTATATATACTGTTTTTCATTGGCATGAGAAAATAAATTTCTCCTTGGGTGTGGGATGAGGGTTTTCTTTGTGTTGATACAGATTTGTCTGAGTTTTCTTCATTAGCTGTGGAAGTAGAATAAATTAAGTCTTTTAAAAATGTGTAAATGGTGAGTAGTGGTCATGCCTGTCTACAGCATCTTTTGACGCTTTAGCCTAACTAGCCCTGCAGCCCCATTTTACTGCCAGTTGAGTCTGTCTCTCTCTGTATACCCATCCCAGAATTTGGTTTATAAATAAAAGATTGATGTAGGTTTAGGTTTTTTTTTTGTTATTGTTTGTTTTTTAAGTCAGCCTGCTGAGATCAGAGTTAGGCATTAACTATACTCCTGTGTCATATTTTCTTTTATTCATAATTATGAACACTACTCTCTGGATCAGGCTGGATGTAGCCTCTGTAGATGCATGCATTGGATTCATCTTGTTTCTAGCCCATCACTGTTGCTTTAAGGGTATCTTTACTTTTCATGAGTGAATTGCTTGTTTACATTTGACAAATGAACATTCTAGGCATAGGTGTTTACTGGTTTTCCCCCTTTGCCTTCTTGATTTTGAGCAGTGTGATTGGGAGAATGCATGCCATTTACTTTAACTTTTATTTTGGTTCAACAGGAAGAGACTACAAACGAAAATGCTGAGAAGCCTAGGAAGAAGTTTGGAGTTATTTGGAGGTATGTGCACACAGTTAGAGCTTTATATTGCAGTTTCTGAGAGGTTGAGGAATGTGTGCCATCTTCTTCTGAAGAGGATGTAATCCTGTGATGTTCAAAAATAGTTTGTTTTCATGAACTCTTTCATCTTCAGTCAGTAGCACAAGAGTCTGTTTAGAGGTTGATGTCTGTTGGGTCCCCCTGCCAGGGAACCCCCATTTAACTCCGCCATCACATGGTATGATGCATCACATGGTATGATGCCTTTGGTGGTTGCATCAGTGGTGCTACCTTGGAATAAATACTTCTAATTCTCAAAGTTTGGGTATTTTTGTTTTCTACAAACAATAGCCACTGGAGTGTAATGTTAAATTAAGACTGGCCAGCGGTGGGCTGGCGCCATGGCTCACTTGATTAATCCTCCGCCTGCGGCGCCTGCATCCCATATGGGTGCTGGGTTCTAGTCCCGGTGGCTCTTCTTCCAGTCCAGCTCCCTGCTGTGGCCTGAGAGGGCAGTGGAGGATGGCCCAAGTGCTTGGGCCCTGCACCCGCATGGGAGACCAAGAGGAGGCACCTGGCTCCTGGCTTCGGATCATCACAACACCGGCTGTAGCGACCATTTGGGGAATGAACCAACAGAAGGAAGACCTTTCTCTGTCTCTCACTGTCTAACTCTATCAAATTAAAAAAAAAAAAGACCAGCAGGCAGAAATATTGAGGCGTTCCAAACAAAGTGAATAGTGTTTAACCACATTTGAGAATTTAACTGAATGTAGTGTCTAAATAAGTGTCTCGTGTGGATGTTTGTTGGGAGAAGGAAAGCTATGTTTTAGAGCAGGGAGTAGAGGTCAGTGTGTCTGCTAGAGTGTGACAGTTACTCATATTGGTGAACTGGTGATCCCCTCTGCGGGCTGAATGAGGGTGGGAAAGCTTCACCGTGTCCCTGTCATGCAGTGCTGTTGGAACTTACTGCTTGTTTCAGTCTGGCTTCTGTCATTTCATGCAAAGCTCGAATTACTTCATTTTTGAGCTTTGATGTGTTTGCATTTTCAAAATGAAAACTGTAGCTCCTTTTCTGGAGGGTATGAATCATTTTAAATTGCATATTTGAGCACTCATCACAATGCCCATTGTAAGCACTCAGTTCATGGTGGTAGCTGTTTTCCTGATTCACATTTACTGCCTTGTTTCTAGAGTAAAAAACAATGCTGAGAGAATCTTTGCTCTAATGCCAGAGAAAAATGCACATTCCTACTGTACAATGATCCGAGGAATGGTGAAGGTATGTTTATTTTTATCTTTAATTTCTGTGAAATCAGGATGTAACATGAGCAGCTGCATTTCTTCATCCCACTGGATGGGAGTAATACGCTGTTCCCCTCCCTCAGTTGTGACAACTAAAAACGTCTCTGGGTGTTACCCAACATCCCCTGGGTAAGCAACCACTGCCCTGCACTATAGCCTGCATAACAGGAGCCTGGCCCTAGGATAATAGATAATGTGAATATTTCCTTGAATGAATAAATTTGGTGATACATACTTTTTGCTTACTGTCTTTCAGTACCGAGCACATAAGCAGGCATTAAACTTGTACACAGAGTTATTAAACAACAGACTCCATGGTGAGTTTGTTTTGAATTCCCCTTCATTCTTCTCCCCTTTTCTTTCCTTCTCTCAAGAATCTACATGAAATTTTTCTTTTTTAAACAGCTGATGTGTACACTTTCAATGCTTTGATCGAAGCAACAGCATTGGTGGCAAATGAAAAATTTGAGGACAAATGGAATAATATATTGGTAAGGAGGAGCACTTAGCTTTTCTCTGCTAGCCATTGAGTATCCACTACTAGCAATATGTAGGGTAGGTGCAGCATTCATTGAGCGTGTAAATAGCCGCCACTGCAAGCAGAGGTGTTATCTGTGTTCAGCAACCCTCTAAATGGCTGTATCTTGATGTGTGAGAAGCAAGAATTACTGGGCTCAGAGCATACAGCTAGAATTCTGGAATACCTGGGTCACTTGTAGTCATTTTAGGGTTTTTGTTTTTGTTGCTACTAAAGTGAACTTGTATTTTTTTTTTTTTTAATTCCTGCTAGGTGACAAATTAAAATTACTGGATTGATTGTTGCATAACAGTTTACAACTGAAGCATGTTTTTATACCATATTGGTCATTTTTGTTGTGTATTAGTAGTAGGTGGTGGTGGTGATATTACTACTAATAGTATTTTCTGGAAGACTTAATAGGTAGATGACCGAAGATAGTTAAACATTTTGACGTTGAGCTTCTGTAACAGAATTACTGTTTCGGATTTGGCAATAATAGGTATTAACTACAGATAATTTAGTTAGACATAGATAGAAAGCAAACTTCTTTTTGGCGAAACAGTTATGAGACAAATTATCTACCCTCACATTTAAAGTAAACACCAAACTTCTTGATTGTGATGGAACTAGGAGCTGCTGAAACAAATGGTTGCACAGAATGTGAAACCCAATCTACAGACTTTCAACACCATTCTGAAATCTCTCCGAAGATTCTATGCAGTTGGAAGAATGCTGGGCTTACAAACTTTACGTGAAATGAAAGCTATCGGAATCGGTGAGCATAGATCTTGGGGTCCTTAATAAAGACAAACTGGACTGACCAGAGGGTTCAGGCCCACGTAAGCAGAGAAAATCTGTAATTTCTTTTGCTGTCTTTGAAATACATTGGGAACTTCCTTTCCACCACTTGGCCCTCTTAGACATGTACAGTCGGCCCTCCATGTGAGCCTCAGATGTATTCAAGGAAAAACAGTTTGTAAGGATCACGTGCATACTTTTTCACTGTCATTTCTTAAACCATGAGGTGTGCCAACTGTTGATATGGGGTTGGGTATTATCACTCATCCAGAGACAAGGTATTCAGATGGATGTGCATACATTGGAGCAAATGCTGTGCCACTTTATGTACGGGACTTGAGCATGTACAGGTTTGGTATCTGGGATGGGGAAGTGGTGTCCTGGAGCTGATCCCCCAGATACCTAGGGACTGCTATACTTAATATGTGGTTTTCATCTTCATATTCTTTGTAGCAGACTATAATGTTGTAATCTTTTAGGTTGTTCATGGACCATTCAATTTTGCAGATGATTGATTACTTTCAGCTAGATAGTTTTAAATTTCATGACATTTTCCTAGAATACTTAGATATTTGAATCCAAATGTCTACTAATATGTTACATATTTTTCAGTTATTTATTAAAGGTTGCTTTGGGAATCAATTTGCTTCAGTAGGCTTTATTGTTCTTAATGAGACTCCTAGTAGTAGTAGATTTTTAGACTTCGAAAGTGATGCAGTCTTCGATTTTGTCACCTTTGCATTAATTAGATGAACTGGAAAATAGAAATTCATTCTTTATTTTAATGTTAACTTCAGTGTGCTTTAGTACGCTCAGTTTCTTTATAGCTGTGTTTTTACTTTTTCTCTTTTTTTCTATCCACCTGATAATCTGAGAACCGTCACTTGCAACATATCACCATGTTATTCAACTGTTTTATCAACATGGTATGTATGGCCTTACGTTGTATTGGTTTTTGTAGGAAATTGATTGGCTCCTTTGTTTTGTCTGTTTGCAATTTGTGTTCATTTGTATTTTCTGCGTATGAGAGAAGAATAGAGAATTCACAGATTGCAATCTACGACCTGAACAAAAAGATTTTTTTGAGGATAATGACCTACCTTGTGATTTGAGCTAGAGGGGAGAAGATTGGTGAAGTGTATGAGCAGTGTGGGTACACAGATAGGAATGGACAGGAGTATTTTAGGTTGGAGATCCTTTTCCTCTCCACAGCTTTACTGTCCAGCACAGTACCCACTAGCCAAATGTAGCTACTTAGTGAAAACTAAAATTCAAAATTCCTCTCTTCACATTGTACTTGGCCACACTATGGGGACTACCATATTCAATGATGTGGATATAGAGCATTTTCAACTTTGCAGAAAGTTGGGGAACTATGCTGCTCCAGAGGGAAGTTAACCTCATTTTGAAGCTTTTTGGGTGGACCTTGGGACTCCATTGTCACCTCCTGTGAACTTCAGAGCCTGGGACATCTGTGTTGTAATTTCAGTTCTGCCATTTATTTACCTACCCGAGGGATATCAGGATGTGATGATTAAATGAATTATGCCCATTGTCTTGTACCAGGTTTGTAAGGCACATCGTAGGCAGAAACTTTTTGCTTCTGTTTGTACCCAGCCTGAGAAAGAGGAAGGGTTTCCTAGGTTCAGAAATGACAATTCAATCATTCCTTCCTGTAGTGGGCTTGATTCTGTTGGCTAATTTTACAAAACTCACATCTTTGCATTAGGCTAGGGATTTTGTTGTTGTTGTTTTTTATTTGACAGAGTCAGTAAGAGAGAGACAGAGAAAGGTCTTCCTTCCGTTGGTTCACCCCCCAAATGGCCGCTACAGCCGGTGTTGTGATGATCCGAAGCCAGGAGCCAGGTGCCTCCTCTTGGTCTCCCATGCAGGTGCAGGGGCCCAAGCACTTGGGCCATCCTCCACTGCCCTCCCAGGCCACAGCAGAAAGCTGGACTGGAAGAGGAGCAACCAGGACTAGAACCCAGTGTCCCTATGGGGTGCTGGCGCCGCAGGCGGAGGATTAACCAAGTGAGCCACGGTGCCAGCCCCTGGTTTTGTTTTGTTCTAACCTTTTAGGAAAATTAGCAGGTAACTGACTTTATCATAGAAACAGATAAACAGTTCCTCCAATAGTGTCCTCTAAAATTGTACTCCACCTTGGTGTGATTGTGGTGAAGGTCTTTTTCTAAGGGTATTAATTCAGTGAGGAGTGTTCTTTATTTGGTTACTTGCACTCCAGTGAAGGCACTCTTCTTAGGAAGAGACTGTGAAGGAAGGGTGGTGTCTTTAACTGGAGCAAGTGATCAGAGGCGTGCTTTGTTCCAGCTGGAGGAGCTCCTTGAACAAGGGTTTGCTCCCTGTAGAGCTCTGGCAGGCCTTAGAGCCAAGGCAGAGGAAAACAGATCTGTGCTAGGTGATGTGTGTTTGGGGGTGGTACAGAATGTGAACGCATGATGAAATCTATTTGTTTGCTTGTTCTACATGAGACTCCTCAAAAGAATCATCTTTCATCATCTATGACATAATGAATGAATTAACAGGAAAGAGCTTTTCTCCAAAGGACCCGGATGATGGTATGTGCAGAAACTGCTTGTTTTTTTCTCCTGTAAATGCTGAGGGCTCGGCACACATGGGCAGGGGTGCACTGGTTATTCTGTGAGCAAAAATGTCTGCAGGCTATTGCTGTACACATCCTCTGCACTTGAGTTTTAGCTTGTTTACTAACTAGTTATGGTAGCAGGATTTGTATTTGTATTAATGTTACTCACTTGAAATATATTTCACCCATAGTAACCAAAGCTCTTGTGAACTTTGATTTTCAGATTTGTTTTTTCAGTCAGCCATGAGAGTTGTAAGTACAAGTTCTTATTTAACTTTGCTATCTATGTTTTAAAATTCCCAGTGTATTCATTTTTATTTATTTTAAAAGCAGAGAGAGGTGCCATGCACTGGTTTATGCACATGCTATTGTAATTGTTGACAACAGTCGGTGTTTCCCAAGAGGGAAACCTTGTAACTACGCTGTGGTTGTTTCTGAGTTACTTCCTGGGGTTTGGGTTAGTGAGCATTTCATGTGTCTTCCGTAAGCTTAATTTCTATAGGTATAGTTGCTAAGCTGAAATAATTCTCCCCAGTGTTATAATTTACTTGCTGTTAACCACCAGTTTGAATAAACATAAGTATTTTCACATGCACGTATCCTTTTTTCTTATGCAGTGAGCTGCTGTTCAGTTCAAAGGATATCATATTAATACCTTGTCTGCACATTTTCAGTGCTCATCGCTCAGAGATCTAGAACTTGCTTACGAAATACATGGCCTTTTGAACACTGGAGATAACCGGAAATTCCTTGGACCCGATTATCGGCGTAATTTCTATTAGTAAGTGTATGAAATGTATCCCTGTGCTTTCATTAGTAGATTCTACTGTTGTGCCTGAGTGAGTGAGAGGAGCACCACACATGGATAAGATTTGATGGCTATGGAGAGCAAGCAGCTCATGCCCTAACTCTTGACCCTGAGGCTGAAAGCAACAGGGAGACAAAAACCACAGGAAGGGAGGGGGGAATATGTGGTTATAAGGGTCAAGTGGACCTAAGGCCCATATGAAACAAATAACCAATGTCAATTCTTACAATCTTAACATTAATCCAGGTGCAGCCTATCTGTTTTAAGCTTGAGCAATCATGCTAGGGAATTTCTTTGTTCTGCCAGGTGGATGAGTGTAGATCAAAGTTTCAGACCAGAGTTTAATGGTGGGGGATGCTTTCTTAAGATGGAGTCTGGGCCGGCGCTGCGGCTCACTAGGCTAATCCTCCGCCTTGCGGCGCCGGCACACCGGGTTCTAGTCCCGGTCAGAGCACCAGATTCTGTCCCGGTTGCCCTTCTTCCAGGCCAGCTCTCTGCTGTGGCCAGGGAGTGCAGTGGAGGATGGCCCAAGTACTTGGACCCTGCACCCCATGGGAGACCAGGATAAGTACTTGGCTCCTGTCATCGGATCAGCGTGGTGCACCAGCCGCGGTGGCCATTGGAGGGTGAACCAACGGCAAAAGGAAGACCTTTCTCTCTGTCTCTCTCACACTGTCCACTCTGCCTGTCAAAAAAAAAAAAAAAAAAGATGGAGTCTGGGATGCTCTAAAGTGGAGCGCCTACACTCAAGCTGTTGCTTCACTACAAATGGGAGGGTGTTGGTGTAATCCACATTTCACCTCCAGTTTCAGAGAGCCGACCTGTGATTTAACAGTATGCGTTAATTGAGCATTCTGAAATTACAGCAGTGGTGAGATTGCCAGGTTTGAAAGTCTAGTATCTTTTTCCTCAGCCCTCTTAATATTTGATATTCTTAATTATAGGAGGATGTGTCTTTAAAGGCTTTGTTCCAAAACTGCTTGCTTTGGTAATGGTAAAGACACTGGAGCCCAGAGAGGCTCCTTAAAGTGGGCTTGCTTGTAGGAGGATAAAGCTTGAGCTTAAGGAGTTAGCTGCTCGTGGAAGTGTGAGAATTGTTTCTTCTATGTGAGAAAGTCCTTATTCACACTGAATGCTTTTAATGGGATATGTTCCGTGTCTGCTCACTGGGAGCGGATACTGCTGAGGAGGAAGCAGTCATAATGACTAGTTGATGTTCAAGTGGTATTCATTGTAAAGGTCAGTACCTGATCCCGTGTAGGCCATTGAACTTGATACTGTTTATAAATACTTGAAATTTTCTAACACATCGTCATATAACAGAATTTCAGTAATTATTTTCTTGTTGTTAGACATAGGGATTTTATTTTAAGCATACTTTTTCTCTCCACAGTTCCAAGTTTTTCAGTTTGCTTTGTCTAATGGAACAAATCGATGTCACCTTGAAGTGGTACAAGGACCTGATACCTTCTGTAAGATGATTTGTATATGTCACTTACCATTGTAGATGAACTTTTAACTTTCCTGATTGCTGCTTTAAAAAATAAATTTGTATTTCTCTCATCAGGTTTTCTTTCCCAGCTCTCAGACATTGATAGATCTTCTCCAAGCATTGGATGTGGCCAATCGACTAGAACTGATTCCTCAAATTTGGAAAGGTAAGTAATCAGCTTTGTGTCCAGGCCCATCTCAGTTCAGTGTCCTACCGTTTGATTATTGAACATGTTAACTTTGTTGGGGTGGAAGTTTCCATTTTAAAGTGGAATAGATTAGATCTGCTTCAGTTACTTGCTGATACTGGATAACATGAATAAAACTGAAATAAAAACTAAAGTCAGACCCTTCATGACATAGGAACTAGCTAAGTTCTGCACAGCTGTTATGTGACATGACCCAGAGAAAAACACGGTTAGCCTGAAGTCTGAATGACCTCAGAGCCTCTGTACGAGTGGTGTTTCACTTCGGTCCAGTTGCTAATGAAAGACCCTGATTACTGCATTTCTTAACTAGCAACCATGACTGTGATATGTGTGTTGGTCTGTTGTGTGTGGATGAATTGACTCAAAACTAGGTGATTCTATATTATCAGTCAGCTTTTGTTTCTATTAATCACCCTGCTTGTTTTCTGGAATCTTCGGATAAAGCTAGAATGGCTACCATCAGCAACGTTTTTTACCCACCAAAAACGTTAAGAATTACAGCTAACAGTGATCTGATGTCAGCTAGAAAGGGTATTGGTTTTACTTGATGGTGACGGCTCTCTCGCGTTCCTTTTTCATGTCAAGATAGTAAAGAATATGGTCACACTTTCCGCAAAGAACTGAGAGAAGAGATCTTGGAGCTCATGGCAAGAGATAAGCACCCACCAGAGGTAGGGCTGCAGTGTCACTGTTCTTGTTGATGTGTGCTAACAGTGTATCCTGTAACAGGGAGGCCCTTTTAAGGATAGTTTCCATGGTTTCTTCTATCATTATGGAGAGCTCTGCCATCCAAACCCAAGTGTACATTCTGGTGCACCTAAACGAACCTGCTGTCACTGTCACTGCTCCAGTCCAAGCAGGCAGCATGGAAACTGCTGCTCTGCTCTGACATGAATAGCAGCTTGCTTCTTAACACTTTCCATCTGAAAGGAAGGCGCATGGTTGAAGTTGAAAGGTGTGGGTAATCGAGTTGTTTATCCCACAAGAGAGTCTGCTTTGTCTTTCTGCTTGCTTACTTGTGTGGCATGTTACAATGGATTGCTCAGAATTTTATGGCCCTCTGGTAATCTCCTGAATGTAAATCCTCTCACAGCACTTAAGGCAGTTCTGCTGACTCTCAGAGCCTCTCAGCTTCAGGTGGCGTTTGCTGATTGTGCCGCGGATATCAAATCCACGTATGAAAGCCAGGATGCCAGACAGACTGCTCCCAATTGGCCAGCCAGTCCTCTCAACTGTATAGCTATTCTGTATTTAAGGGCTGGAAGAACTCAGGAAGCCTGGTGAGTATACAGTGTACATTAGAAGCATCTGTGTTTGCATGTAAAACATATACCCAGGACAGTGAGAAGAGGTTCTCTAGTTTGGAGGGGAAGTTAGGTATATCAACAGCCATTCTCAAATGTATGAGGATTGTTTTATTTAATAAATTAAAGGTAGAGAGCAACAGAGAGGGAGAGAGCACTTTCATCTGCTGGTCACTCCCCAAGGAGCAGAACAGTCAACTCTGGGCCAGGCCAAAGCCAGGAGCAAGGAATTCTAAAAGGTCTTCTGAATGGGTGGCAGGGGCACAGGCCATCATCTGCGGCCTTCTCAGGCACATTAGCAGGAATCTAGATCGGAAGTGGAGCAGCTGGGACTTGAACCGGCATCCATATGGGATGACAGCCCTGTAGGCGGCAGCTTTACCCGCTACACCACAGCGCTGGCCCAAGGGTATAGTTTTGAAGGACTGAGACTTTGCATTTCTGTCCTTTCAGCTTAGTGTATCCGTAGGCAAGTCAGGCTGTCAGCCTCATTTTCCAGGCTACTTAAATGGAACAGAGTGATCAAAGAAATATATCTTTAAAAAGTGATTTGGTCATTTGGAGTGTTAAAGTGTCATTTAAGGTGCTCCTTGCACCTGCACTCTTCAGCTTTAAACATGGACTGAATACTTGGACTTTTGGCATTTGTTCACATTTACTAAAAATGACCTCGACTAAAACCCATCTTTGTTTTCTGTGTTCTGGTAGTTTCTATCAGTACTTCATTCACATACTGGTTTTAATTTAATTGAATGGGACCTTATTAATATTCATTTTGCCAAACGGGAAGTCATCAAAAGGATACCTTGTGAGAATAGTCAAAAATACCTAGTTCCACTGTATTTTTTGTCGAATATATAAGTATGATCAAAGAGTCAGTGAGTTGGATGTGGGGGGTTCTGCCTAGATAGCTTCTTGAACAATAAAGTAACTTCAATTAAACATTAGTTCAAAATGTGGCTGTTGAATATATCCAGGAAAAGATGAAGACGACTTTCTGCCTCAGCTGTCTTCGAAGAGTACTTGGGTGCCGCGTTCGGTGCGGCAGTTAAAACACCACTCGGGATGCTGATGTTGCGATCAGGGTGTTTGAGTCTGAGTCGAGCAATGCCTGCTCTGCTCAGTCCAGCTTCCTGCAACGCACACCCTAGAAAGTAGCAGATGATGGCTCAATTAGCTATGTAGAGTCTCAGATAAAAATGTGGGTTCCTGGCCTAGTCTGGCCTGTTGTCACTAGCACTTAGAAGTAAAGCAGAGAATGGAAAAGGGGTGCCTCTGTAGCTCTTCCAAAGAAAGGAAAGATTGAAGTGTAGTCCATGCACACCAGCACCTGTGCTGCTGGTGGCAGCCGCGTCTGGCATTTGCATGTATTTGTCTGCTCTGGCAGATTGGCACACACTTGCTGTGAATCAGGCTGTGATGATTGGCGCAGGGGTACGGACCTCAGCTGAATCATGGGAGCTGAATGTTCGTGCTTCTCCTTTGTCCTGCACGTGGCAGGGTGAGGGGGAGCACTTACATGAGACTTGCCGCAATCTGAGCCTGAACTTCTAACAGGATTTTAGAACCCCTGAACCTCGGCCGTACTGAGGGAAACAGATGGCACAGCTACACAGATGCACGTCCTCCGTGGAGGACAGGGGGGTCCTTAACAAGGAACCAGGCACCAGTGCTTCTCTACATTACTAGCCTGTCTAGTGGACCTGTGGAGTGCTGTGTGGACAGGGCTTGGAGCCAGCAGAGCCTCCAGATGTGTACGTTTAGAAGCTCACGGTGTAGTTAGAAGGAAAGGGGTCCCGGGACAAGAGCTGCAGTCATCTGGTTGCATCCTCTTTCTGTTAATGGTCATAACCTTGCTCTCATCTCATCTTTGACAGGAACATGTTTGGAATTTTCAAGAAGCATAATAAGATCCCTAGGTAAGTTGAAATTAACAGGCCCCACCTACATACATGTAGATGCAGCAGCCCGGCCTGAACTTTTAACTGTGTTGGGATTTCTTGACCTCGGCCTCTGCCTATGAGTACTCTTCTGTTAGGCAAGCAAACCTTAAGCGTCCCACTAGCCAGGCAGCCTGAGGCAGGCAGCTTCAGCCAGTGCTCGGTGACTGCAGCTCACTGGGGCAAGCTGAGTAGCTTCTCAGTAAAGGCCTATTGAATGAGTGTTCACTATCATTCTCACAATTAGACGTCATGTCAGAGTTACTTCTGAGAATTTTGTTATTGAACTTAAAGATTTATAAGCACAATCTAGCCTTAAGGGGCCTAGTTGGGGACTGTCCTGTCTTGTCGTCCTTTCACAGAAATGATTTGCTGGCTGAGTTCATGGACAGTGCAAAAGCCTCCAGCAGCCCCGCCCAGGCCATTGAGGTGGTGAAGCTGGCGTCTGCCTTCAGCTTACCTGTGTGTGAGGCCCTCACCCAGAGAGTAACGACTGAATTTGCAATCACCCAGGAACAGAAGTAAGTGGTAACTACCTGCCTCTTAACCCTGAGGGAGCTCACCGTTTCTCCACCTGCCATCCAGACGGATACAGCTTTTATCTTGTCTCAGTTGATGATTACCAAAGAATAGTGAGATGTATTGATTCAGTGGCTTTATTTGTTATACAAGTCAAATTGTTGGGTCCTTTTCTATTACCAAACACAGTTCAGCACAGCTGCAGTCCCTTCCTGACCTCAGAATTGGTTATGAAAGTGCATGTCAGTCACCAGGGACCTCAGCTGCTGAGTGGCAATGTAACTCCAGTTTCTTTCCTTACAGGGAAGCCCTGGGCAACCTAACTGCACAGAGCAGTGACAGTGACAGTGACAGCGACAGCGATAGTGACAGCAGTGAAGGCAAAGGACGGTAGGAGTCTTCCTGGCCACAGTGGTAACCAAGAGGGGAGGATACAGAGCTTGTGAACTTGCTACGTGACGTAAACTTGCAGCAGTCTGTCAGCTCTTCACGTGCCACTATAATTAAGCAGCAACACTACCACTTTCATTGTTACCAAGACACGAGGGGAGGTGTCTGGCTCATGGAGAAGCCCTGCACCCCTTTGGGACTGGGAGTGGCTTCCATCAGCGTGCTGTTCCCTTTCTCTGGCTTCAGCCATGGTTGGCCTCATCTGCTGCATGTCCTTCCTTGCTGTTAGAGATGATGAACGGTTTCCATGAGACTGCCTTGTAGTAGTACAACTGGGGGAATATTTAGATGTGAGTGTGCATCTTGGGATCGAATGAACAGAATACTGGCATTTCACTTACAGAACTAAAGCTTCTAAATGAAGTCTGTAAATAAATATTGTAACTCATGTACATGTGTATAGTCTTGCTGTAACACCCAGGCGTTTGTCTCCCTTTTTGTGTGTATGCTGACACATTCGTTGTCATGACAAAAGAATAAAATGTCTTCTATACGTGATTGTGCATTGCTGTGACTTATAGTCAAGAACTTCTAGCATCCCATGCTACCCTGGTGGAACACCAAAAAGAAGTCAGTAGCTTCAGCCTGGCCCAGTGATAGCTGTTGCAGCCATTTGGGGAGTGAAGTAGCAGATGGATGCTATCTATATCTCTTCTATGTCCCTCTGCCTTTTGAATACATTTTTTTTTTTTTTTAAATCCCTTCCCAGCATTTCTTAAGACATTAAAGTAGTATCGCAAGACAGCAAGAACATTTTACTTCTTACTTGAAAAGTAGAGTGACATCTTACATCTGCTTCACTTCCTAAATGCCTGCAGCAGCCAGACTAGGCCAGGTCTCCTGTACACATAGCTGAGATTCAGCAGGAAGCTGGAATTAGAATTGCGGTAGCAGGGCCAGTGTTTGCTATAGCAGGTAAAGCTGCCACCTGCGATGCCGGCCCAGCAGCTCCACTTCCAGTCCAGCTCCCTCCTAATGGCCTGGGAAAAGCAGAAGATGAGAAGATGGCCCAAGTGCTTGGACCCCTGCTGCTCACATGGGAGACCCCAGAAGAAGCTCCTGGCTACAGCCTATCCCAGACCCTGCTGGTGCGGCCTTCTGGGGAGTGAACCAGTGGATGAAGCTCACTCTTCGTAATGGAGACTCTCAAATAAATCTGAAGACACTCAGAGATGGCATGCAGACTTCCCAAGCAATGTCTCAATTGCTTTGTCAAATACCCACCCCACCAAGACCTTTCAAGGTTTGCAGGGCAACTCTTAATTCACAAGGGCTTCAACCATAGGCTGCTTGCACATAACCTGCTTCCTAGATTTACCAAGGTACTTGGGAAGATGAGCTTCATCTTTCCCTGCCTGGGCTGATGTTGGTGACGTGCTGTATGGATAGGTAACATGGAGCTCCCAGCTCCATTTACCTTCCTGTAGCCCAGGATCAGTTCTGTAAACCTAGCTGTTGGCTTCCTGTTTCCTCCTACAAAGTCAGTTCTTAATCTAAGTTTTTTTGCTTTTTTAAAAAAAAAATGTTAGGCAGAGAGAGAGGTCTTCCATCCACTGGTTTATCACAATGGCTGGAGCTGTTCTGCTCAGAAGCCAAGAGCTTCTTTCAGGTCTCCCAGGTGGGTGCAGGGGCCATCTTCCACTGCTTTCCCAGGCCACAGCAGAGAGCAGGATCAGAAGTGGAGCAGCTGGGACTTGAACAGGTTCCTGTATATGATGTCAGCACTGCAGCTGCCGGCCCCTTAGCCTAAGTTTTGAAAGCTTTAATACTGGAGTTCAGAAGTGTCACTGTTCACGTCATGTGTGGGAAAAGGCTCATTCAGTGTTGTGTCAGCATTTACCAGTTAGAAATTGGAAAGTAGCGGGTTTTCTTTGGGCAGACGTGTAACAGTAAAGTGGACTGTTGTATAGCTATTTATCAAAGCATTCCAGCAAAAGGCTCAACAGCATCTAATGACCTAAACGTCTTTAGGATCAAACCTAGATCCGGGGCAGGGGTTGACCTAGTTGACAATCTAAAATACTATACAATTAAAAAAAAAAAAAAGTGCCAGATAATGCTGTGAATATTTTACTGTTGGTTATGGTCAAAGTGTTTGGAAAACACTGAAACAGAACATGCTGTTGCGAGATAGACACTAGGAACATGGATGAGGAGAGCTTGTTTTATAAAGTCAGCACTAGCCTTTAAAGGCAGAATGGCATTTTAGCAGAGGAATGGGTATATCTGATGTTTAAAATAACAAAATGGTGTAGGCAGTGAGCCTGTCTTCAGCCTGTTCCATAAAGGAACCTACTAAAGAAATGCTATGCACATGCATCCGTCTGGCTGTCAGCCTTCTAGAGGATTCAGGGCAACTAAGGATCAAGCCCAGGAACATTTTTAAAAACTAACACCATCAGGGGCTGGCGCTGTGGCCTAGCAGGTGAGGCTGCCACCTGCAGCCATATGGGTGCCAGTTCAAGTCCCGGCTGCTCCACTTCTAATCCAGCTCTCCGCTATGGCCCGGGAGAGCAGTAGAAGATGGCCCAAGTCCTTGGAAGACCTGGTTTCCTATCTGTGCAGCTCTGGTGGTTCCTGTCATCTGGGGATTAAGCAAGTGGCTTTCAGAAACAAAAACTGTCCAGCAGGTGTAAAGGTCACGTCAGGACTCATGCCAGGACAGCCTAAGTTCTGCCACCAGTACCAACGTTGGAAGTTCTCACAAGTTGGATCTTGCCTCACCATCCCTCCAGAACTCCCTCAATGAAACAAGCCAGTGAAACCATGGCACTTCCTTGCTAGGACCCCTGTTCTCTGGCCATGCCTTGTGTGAACCTCAGGGTCCCTGTATGTGTTAAAGAGGAGGAAACCAAGGGAGGCATAGACCAGTGGTTTGGGGAGGTGATGATCAGTCGATCTGATGAAGAAAATCTGCCTGACAACACAAATAATGTGTTCTGCAGCGAGTTCAGGCAAGTTACTGTAGAAGTGCTGGGACGGCCCATTGGGAACTTTGAGACTGCTTTTATCCAGAACCTGTTAGAGAGCAGAGGATTGATGTTATTAATACAAAAGCAGGAAACTTATGTTGTGATGATGAATCGGCACCAGTCAGGCGGGAGGCACTCAGGAGATGCACGTGAGGACAAGATGGGATGGCTTAGCTGAAGGTGATCAGCCGACGTGGCAGCACTGTGACTGCAGGCAAGGTCCGCTGAAGGAGCTGCCTTGCCTCACACACTCAGGGCTACATGTGGATTCTTCCTTGAGGTAGAGCTAAGAATTCAAGTTTCAAAGCACACCCTCCTTTTCACTGAAATCAGCATCTCAGGAAGACTGTTCTAGGCACGAGGAAGGAAAACCAAGGCCAAGCATGCAGAGTCCCTTACCAAAATCATCCTGTTTCCTAACAAACAGTGGGAGTGAGGGGCCTTGTTAAAGGAACTATGTACAAAGAATTGAAAGCCAGAGATCTTCATTGAGACACAAAGCTTACAATCTGTAATATTTTATTCTTATGTAAAATAGACATCACAAGAATCTCTAATAAACAGGCAAGTTTTGCTTTCTGACTTAATATATTTTGCAATTTCTTGCCCTTCCAGAGGGAAGAAAATGTAGGACTGTCCTGTTCGGAACTGCCCGCAGCTGGGTACCCAGAGTGCCTTACCTTCAGGGCCGCTACACGTGAATTCCACAGAGCATGTGTTCTAATTTGAGGAACTACATGTATTTTGTTGAATTAAAAGTTCTTCTAGAAGGGAACCTAAATAATACTAATGTCCACCCAGGCCAGAGATGGACCAGTGTATCCCAAAATCAAAGAATGTCACTGCCTTGCAGGGAGAGCTGTCCTAATGCAGGGACTTGTACTTGCCGGCAGAAATGTAACTAAATACAAGTTGACCCTCCCCTTTAACAGTTTTCACGTGTTGCTGCACAGAGACATGAATAAGAAACACTAACGCTGAAGAATGTGACTATATAAAGAGGTGCTGACCTCTAGGGAGTGAAAAATAAAAGGTGGGAAATTACTCATCAAACGGGGCACTTGTTCTAACAATTAGAAAGGTGAACTCGAAGTTCCCTGGGTTTTATGGCAATGCAGATCCAATACACCACAGAACTAGCCAGTCCCCTTGTTGAGATTCCAGGCTCACTACCTCGGCGAAGACATTCACCAGCAGCACCAGGAAGCAACAAGGTAGGTCCATTACGGTGTTTCCATCTGTGTTCTACTGAATGGATTTTCATGTAAAGCCTTTTAAAAATTAAGTCACAAAACCGTAAACAGAACACTGCTTAAGGTAAAATTGTTTCTTGCGTATGCACAATAAACACACATAAAACACGCTTGTCCTGTGGGCAACACTGGAAGTTAGGCGTGCATACTGTTTCTGGTGCCTTTCAGTCACTTGAATGATAGACCCCAAATACACTAGCATGCACATCACACTTCACGTGTGACCAGCAGGAGTCAATTCACCAAAGCCAAGACTTCAATCCAACTAGTGGCCTGTGACTAGAAGTTCCTATATCTGCTGTTGCTGCTTCTGCACACAAACTAGAAGTGCTACTTTTTGAAAAGCGAGGAGGTACTCAGTTTTCATCTCGTTGCTTTATTCAGTTTGCTCCAAGGGCAAAATCAATAGTAGTGGGGATCACAAACATTACTTTGATTGGCTCACAAGCCTGATCAATAAAACCTGAATAACAGGACACACAAGTTGTGAAGAAAGGACACCTGGAGTTCACTGACATGATAGCAAGTGGAAGGAATATAAATGCAACAGGTGTTAACACAGACCTGCACTCAACCTGCTCGTTCCTAGACCCTGGGACCACCAGTCCAAACCCTTCATACATCCCTGATCTCCTAGGACATGAGACTTTACAAAGCCTCCTAGACCTTACTCCTGCTGCACTTGAGTGGTTCCTATTCCTATGGCACTGGCGTACGCTGTCAAGATCTCCACTATCTGTTTCGTTTCTAGTGTCATTCGAGCTTCCTTCAGCCAGTCCTGTGCCACTCGTCTGGATTCCCCTTTCAGCTGATTAACAAACTTGGCTGCCAACTCCAGGTCACCATGCTCAATGCAATAGGAGGCATATGACAGTAACTTAAATGTGTTTATGTCCTCAGGGTACAGCTCCGCTGGCGGCTTCAGCTGCTGAGGTGCAAATAAGAGCAGGGACTGCAAGTAGGAGAGGAAGTACTGGTACAAGCTATTTCTGGTTTCATCAATCATTGCCACCCTGCGCGCCAGCTTCTGCACAGTATAGAAACGGGCCCTGAGGGTCTCTTCACTGTAAACTCCCCGAGTCAGGGACTCTGGAGGGATGGCTGCAGTCAGAGTCTGGGCAAATTCGTTATCGGCACAGCTGGCTCGGAGGGCCTCCACAGCACTGCCCAGCGGCACAGTGGGCGCGTCTGCAGACGAGGTCTTCATGCTGTACTTCAGTGCCTCCACCGAGAGCCAGAGCTGGTGGGCTTTCCTCGCTTCCTCCTCAGCAAC